CCCAGACTGATCATAGGCCTAACCAATCAAATAGGGATGGAATATTTATTAAGCTGCATTTTTAAGAAACATTTTCGGATGTTTTTTGTGAGTTCTGTCACAACATTACAGCCAATCAAAATCACTGCGTCCTCCACTAAGCCGCGCCTTGTCTATGTACCTGTATGAGACGCTATGCTACCCAGACTGACAGAAATGGTATGCAGCAGGTATGCCACACAAAGACTATAACTACAATAAAATGTGAGTGAGTGGCTAATTATATAATATAATTATTATACAGAATACACACAAACACACATCTTCTAAACCGCTTATCCTTTTGGGTCGCAGGGAAAGCTGGAGCCTATCCCAGCAGTCATTGGGTGGAAGGCAGGACACACCCTGGACAGGTCACCAGTCCATCGCAGGGCAGACAGACAGACATATACATTCACACGCACACTCACACCTATAGCATGTCCAATTAGCCTGACTGCATGTCTTTGGACTGTGGGAGGAAACCGGAGTACCTGGAGGACCCTGGTTGCCCGGCCGGGGAATTGAACCCAGGCCCTTCTTGCTGTGAGGTGACAGCGCTACCCACTGCTAATTATATAATAAAATATTTTTATGTAATTTGTGTTTTTTATTTGTACTAATAATATTGCTAGCCAAGTCTGTATGCTTTTTCCTAGTTGCAGCAGCTGCTCAGTTTAGGCTACATGTTTTGTAGTCGACTATACTAGCAATTAAATAAGGAATTAATGGTAGTTCAAATGGTAGTTGTATTCTGTTACCTAGTCAGAACATATATGAGAAACGTCACTGTTAACTAGCATGTTGATGGCCGGAAAACTAGTACATCTGGCTGTACGGAAAAATGGCAAATATTGTTTCCTCTCTGGAATTATATTGGTAATTTATCTTAACTTTACTGTCCTTTTTTCCACCATAGACTGACTAATTAACCCCAACTTTACTGCTAGTGAGTCTCATGGTCATTTATGTTCTAAAATCTGCAAAGAGTTCGCAATTCATTTTCAAAATAAAATAGACCTGATACAACAGGGTATAGCTCAGCTGACTGAAACAAGCTCCTATAATGTTCCTGATAAGCCACCTACATCAGTAACGACATCTTTCTCTTTTATCAATTATCAGGAGCTTACAACTTTTGTAAACAAACTAAGCTCGTCCATATGTGATCTTGACCTGTTCCTACTTCATTCCTTAAGATGGTTTTTGATTGTGTTCACAATGATGTTTTACCTATTGTAAATTGTTCTCTGTCAGCAGGTGTTTTTCCAGACGCTTTTAAAACTGCCTTGGTGAAGCCTCTGCTAAAAAAAAAGAGTAGCATGGATCCTTCCATACTAAATAATTTTAGACCAATTTCAAACCCACCTTTTTTAAGTAAAGTCTTAGAAAAAGTTGTTTTCAAACAACGAACTGTGTATCTAACATCAAACAATTTAGGTTTTTGTTCTAACCACAGTACTGAGACAGCGCTGATTCACATTATGAATGACCTCAGGCTCAGCGCTGATAAATAAAATCCTTCTATTCTGGTTTTATTAGATCTTAGTGCAGCTTTTGTTACTGTGGACCACAAGATTTTAATCCAGCGTCTTGAATGCTGGGTTGGCCTTTCGGGCACAGTTTTAGAATGGTTTAAATCATATTTAAGTCACAGACAGTTCATGGTTTCACTTGGAAATCATTCATCAAAAAGGTTTGCCATTTCTTGTGGAGCCCCTCAAGGTTCAGTCTTAGTTAGTTATACATTTGTGTCAGATATTTTTCAGTGGATTTTGCAAAATTTGCTACAATTAAACAATTAAAACATGAAAAAACTAAAATATTGATCGTTGGTACAGAAACTCTGAGAAAATGCTTTATCAGAAACTTGGTTCTTTAGCTTCACATACCAAACCTGAAGTACAAAACCTGGGTGTGATCTTAGACTCTAAGCTCTGTTTTATCCCACCTGTAAACACAGTCACTAAAGTAGCTTTTTATCATTTGAGAAATACTGCTAAAGTTCGGCCATTTCTCTCTGAAAGCGACACAGAGACACTTGTTCATGCATTTGTTACAAGCAACTTGACTACTGTAATGCTCTTCTTACTGGGCTACCTAAGAAAACTATACATCCCTTGCAACTTGTACAAAATGCGGCAGCACGCATCCTAACAAAAACAAGAAAGAGAGATCATATCACTCCCGTTTTAAAAGAACTGCACTGGCTAACTGTATTGTTCAGGATAGATTTTAAAGTTCTGCTCCTAGTTTTTAAAGCTCAAAATGACCTAGCACCTGCTTACATCACATAGTGTCTGTCTGTTTATGTTCCAGCACGTAATCTTAGATCTGCAGATAGTGGCCTTTTACAAATACCCTCTGTAAAATACAGAAAACTTGGAGAGGCCTCTTTCAGTTATTATGCTTCTAAACTGTGGAACTCAATTCCACCTTTTATTAAACAGTCAAGCTCAGTGCTAACTTTCAAGAAGCATCTAAAAACGTATCTCTTTAACTTAGCATTTAATTAAAACTCTGTCTCGTGGTATTTATCTTTTAATTTGATGTTTAGTTTTCTTCTGATTCTAAATAAATATTTATGATTTCTTGTATAACTATGTTTTATCACCTGTCTGTAAAGCATATGAAAAGTGCTATATAAATAAAAAATATTCAATAGTCACAAGACTAACATTCTCTAAAGTCAACTTGTCATACTCCATATCACAGTCTGAGATCTCTCCTGTGTCGGTTGAACTAAATCTGCTTGCTCAGAAATAAAACCATACTGGAAATGGTACAAGCAGTACAGCAGCTGGCTGACTGAGCTAGAATATATTGACATGTCCTTGAACAAACCCACCACTCTCTCTACATGAAAAGCCAGAAAAAAGACAGCAACCCACCCTGTCCATCTGTGGTCAGAGTACACTTCTTCCACACTTGGAAAACCTGAAGATCCACACCTTGGAGTGAGGGATGCCTTCCTACTTACATACAACGGCAAGATGATTTCCATCTTCCCTGATTACATTAACTCTGTTGCCAAGAAGCAAGCAGCCTTTCTTTAACTCAAATGACAACTAGAGTTCAGCCCAAACTTTCAGCATGGGCTCCTTTACATGCCAGCACTCAGGTCTGATGACGCTGCTAACGCTTGAGACTTTATAAAGCAACACCAAATAATTATTATCTTGCACCAAGGTGGTTTCACATCCAAATAGGAGGTCTCCCATTGTTACTGGCAAGACAAACAACATGCCAGTGCCTCTTACACCACAAATTGTAACTAAATTGCATTTTCTCATTTTAGGTGGTAATTTTAATTGCCCGTTGGACCACTCTTCTACTGAGGCTGACGCACTTTCAAAATAAACTAAAGGCAATTAATACATTTATAGCTTAGTTAGCCATTTATCATCCTTTCTATACATCTTCATGTGCCTGAGAACATTGTTATGGGATGCATTGTTATGGGAACATTAAATTGTAGACAAGACTAACAATACAGCTAGTTAGTTCATACTAGTTCTTTACCAGCCTTCTGCAAAAGCTAATGACACACAAAAATACTGGTACAGTTATATCATATGTTCACAAAAATTCTTTATTTATTCATGAATTGCCATACATGTGTTATACCACATTATACAACAGTTAGTTCCGGCCATGCAAGCTGATTGGTTGAGAAGCGTTCTAACCGTGCTGTTATTTCGCCATAACACTGTATCACTCTGCTGAGTGCTAAGCAACGACTTTGATAGGAGACGCTCTAGCTATTTGAACGTTTTTACTTCTTACTTTGCACACAAACAGAAAATGGATACTTTTAAGATTATATTTGATCGACAGTCGATTTCGTCAGGCTCTGAAGACGAGACTACACTAAATTCCCAAACTGTCAGTTGGTCTGTTTAAGGAGCTGGAGAACGAACTGCCGGCTGTGCAGCGAGTGAGCGGAGCTCGTTACTCTGACGTACCAACAAGCTGCTTGTTAAGGAACATTAATTTGGCGGAAGGAATCGCTAACATTAAAACATATTAAATGCCATGTTCACGACATTCAAATTATTTATTTCGTGCTTTATTTATGTAACCGTTGTATAAAAGCAATAGAACACTCAAGATCGTGTGTTATCGATATAGAGCCCGAGAGGGAGTGTGTTATCGTGAAATAACATCACGGCTGTGATTTGGTTGCCGTAGATCACCACAGCCGTGATGTTATTTCACGATAACACACTCCCTCTCGTGCTCTATTGCTTAAGTGATGCTCACTGTCATTAAAAATAGCATGAATTTGGGAATGATGTGAAGATTTCTTCTGGAAAAACTGGATCTGCTGCCTCTCTACTACGCTTAACAGATACAAGTTACATTATATCTGCATAAAAAACCCTCCCAAAAAAAAAACCTTAAAGCTCAAAGCACCTAGTGGAACCCTGCCATCAAAGAAGAAGCAGAGCAGCTGATAAAAAAAGATGTTTTATATGAAAATAAAAAATTAGAATTTGAAAAAAAACAGAAGGGGAAAACAGCAACAACTATGGTAAGCACTTTGAAATGTCACAGTCCATGCAGTTAGGAAATGGGTTTTTTATATCTTTTGATAAAATAAAGGGTCAAAGAAGTGTCAAAAACAGACTTTTAGTTTTGAAGCCACTTTAAGTACTGCCTATAGAATGAAAAATTTACAGGTGTGATAGAAATCAGTACACCTTCCACCAATTTAACCTGTTGTGGCAATTTATAAATACAAAACCAACTGAATTAAGATAAATATGAAACCAATTCTTATAAGGCGTACTGTATTTATGCCCAGTTAAAATTTCAACCCAGTCCAGTCATGGATTAGAACTCAGTTAGCAGTTAAACTCTGCATTTAAGATGCAATTTAGAACCTGATGGAGCAAATTTTAAAAATTCAAAATAAAAAAAAAAATATTTGGAGCCCTAATTTTTGTCTTAAATTAGTATTTGAGTATTGAGATACTCACTGCCTTCCCACGTGCAGTGCAACAGGTTCAGCGCCCCCTCCACTCTCTTCCAATGCTGCAGGTGGAAAAAGGCATATGCTATGGCCTCACTGTCGCCTCTCTTTAGGATATGCTCCGGTGGCAGTATCAAACTTTTCATCTCTAAGAGGTACTGTAGAAGGCAATTACCACAATTTAAATAGAAGCACAGTGTAGTAACCTTGCATTTATCATAATTTCAACAGTCTTATTTGTTTTTAAGTAGTGTTGGTGTGAGTAGCTCACTTTGGGTACATGTGGGTTGAATTCCACTGCTCTGTGTATGGCTTCCACTGCATTCATCTCTGCTGTACTCAACCCTCGTCGAGATGCTGCCTCTGGAGAAAACCTGGAAAAGTGTAAAAGGGGATGACAGAAAGCCCCTTCTACAAATAGTATTCAAATGCAAACTGTTTGCACAACTGTATGCACATATGCACATTGTTTCAGATAAAGGAAATTCAGTACAGTTAAAATTAAAGATGTCATGATACCAGCAGCTTGGTAGTCGATACCAAAACCAGTGAAATCACACAGTTCTTGAAACCTTATTCAATTACCACAACAAAAACAGAAATGTAAGCTTCAGGTATGCTTATTGCAGGATTTTACTCTTTATTTCGTAAATTATGAATAATCCCTCCTAATATGAGATTGTCTACTCAAGTTAAAGTTATCTGTGCATCTTGGACTGTATTTGTGACGAGCAGCATCATATGCGCCAGATCACATACTTGACGTAATGATGAATAAAATTGATAATGATATTGACTGTGATTTCAGTTCTGAGCTTTAGTTGTAGGACATATTTGTGTCAGTGTTTGACTATAACATCTAGTCTTCTGTAATGTAGCTTAAAAAAAGGCACCACTGCAAATGTGTGATTAATTTACTAATATTACTGTTTAGTATTTTCTAAAATTCACAATATCTCTTTTTGTTCCATGTTCTTAGAATGTCTTTAACTTTACTCACTTAACTAAAAATTATAACAATAATAATTAATAAGAATAAAAAGATCAATAATAAAAAACTACTAAATTAAATCAGCACACATTTCAAGGCACCTCAAAAGACAAAAATAAAATAATTGAATTAAAATAGGTTACATGCCTTCCAATGATTTACTGTATACTTTTTACTTTACAGAGAGTGTATGTATCTTGTTATTTAGCCCACATTACTTTTCATGTTGTAAAATTTCCTTGCTGGATTGAACTGGTAACTATGTGGGCGGAACAGTGAGTTTATCAGGGTGCAATCAAACTAATCCAACACCTTGTGAAAGACAGAGCTCAGGGTAGGGGACAATGGTGCACTCATCAACACTGTCTGCCATTAGCCCAAGATGTCAAATAAGTTAGCATGGCTGAAATGTTTCTGAAAAAACTCCAATTAAACATGTAGATGTGTGGAGTGTTTGCAGAGAACATATTATATTATATTATATTATATGTCAGTGTTTACTCACTCACAACTGAGATGACCTGAGCAGGCTGTATAGACAAGTCAAGGCTTACCGATGTTCAGATGTTTTTCAAATGGTTTTGCGCTGTGCATGAAGGATTGCGGATGACTGAAGATCTGATTGGACATACCAGTTGAGTCCTTTGATTTCTCAGAAACGTAAGGTGCATTCAAAGGATTCCTTTGCACTGAGATACAGCTAACCTGTCTCTAGACATGTGTTCTTGTTACAAAATCCTGGTCCTGTGAGACTACTTACAGCATGACCCAGTTCCTTCAAAACAGTGTTGATGTCAAGTGTCATTTAAACTTCACAAACTAAATATAAAGGAAGCAACCTGTGGAACGCTGAAGGAGGCAAGGAGAAGCACCATTATATACATGCTGAGAAAGACTGTGACCAGTTTAAAATATGGTACCCTCTGATTTACAATTTTTGTCTTGCTCTGAACAAACTGTACACAGTTTTACAATAAAGACAAATTACTCACTTGTCAGACACAGCTCTGGCTTTAAGAAGAGCGGCTGTGTAGCATATTGTTGCAGATTTCGGTAAGCTAATGTCTGCAGAGAGAATGTAAATTGATATTAAAGGAAATCAAGATACAACTATATCGACTACAACATCTGACACCATAGTATTGAAACACTGGCGTAGCATTACACTAAAACTGGTAATTATATATACACACACACACACACACACACACACACATATTCTACGCTCATTGTCCATTTTATCAGCTCCACTTACTATATAGGTACACTTTGTAGTCCTACAATTACTGACTGTAGTCCATCTGTTTCTCTGCATACTTGCCCTGTTCTTCAGTGGTCAGGACCCCCATGGACCCTCACAGAGCAGGTATTATTTGGGTGATGGATCATTCTCATCACTGCAGTAACACCGATGTGGTGGTGGTGTCTTAGTGTGTGTTGCGCTGGTCTGAGTGGATCAGACACAGCTGTGCTGCTGGAGTTTTTAAACACCTCAATGTCACTGCTGGACTGAGAATAGAACACAAACTGTGCAGCAGCAGATGAGCTATCGTCTCTGACTTTACAAGGTGGACTGACAAGGTAAAAGTGTCTAATAGAGTGGACAGTGAGTGTTTTAAAACTCCAGCAGCACTGCTGTGTCTAATCCACTCCTATCAGCACAACACACACTAAGACACCACCACCACCACCACCACCATGTTGATGTTACTGCAGTGCTGAGAATGATACACCACCCAAATAGTACCTGCTCTGTGATTGTCCATGGGGGTCCTGACCACTGAAGAACAGGGTAAAAGGGGGCTAACAAAGTATGCAGAGAAACAGCACACACACACACAATTTGTGAAATAAAACAGGATGGACAGTGAATGAATTAATTAATGGATGAATTAATTAATGAATGAACAAAAACTTATAAATTACTCATTCAGCAAGAGAGTCTGTGTTTATGTTGGAGGCTTAAACCACTCAAAATCAAAAACTACATGAACTCATTCCAGATAGCCTCATATGCATATGTCACTCAAAGTTATGTACCTAAGCCACAACACATAGTAAAAAATGACATTTATACAGACAACATACCATCATACTTAGCAAGAACTGCTTGCACATCAGCATAGTTTTGCAGCTCTAAGAGTGACTCCAGCAGGTTCTCATGAATATTGAACATACTGAGGAGAGGAAACTCCTTCATTAACTGGAAAAACATATATACAGCTGTTATAAGCAACTCTGCAATTTACTAATTTCAAAAGCACAGATAAACAAATATAATCAAAAAAAAAAAAACAGCTATACAGCTGACTTCAATGAAATTAGGTATGTGCATTCGTGTACATTTTCTAAAATGAAATCGCAGGAGTTATAAAACTGCTCAGTGGTTACTTACATCTCTCATCATCTTCACTGCCTCTCTCGTTCTTCCAAGCTTTCGAGAGCACATAGCAAGCCTCCTCTTAATGTACACTAATACATTTGTGTCCCTTCCTTAACAAAGAAAGAATGGTTAAAGATGCAGCTTTCAAGTTCAAAGATGCTTTTATACTACTTTCATATGTTTTCTGGTACTTTTTAAAAGGGAGACATTGAATGCACTGATGAATGTAATTTAAAAAACTAATAAAAATGTAGCATATACATGGTAAAGTGTTAGTTGAATACAATGACTTCCATTCCAAACAAAAATGGCAATAGCAAAATCAAAATGTTTTTGTAGCATGCCACCATTCTCAAATAATAAATTACATGAGCCATATTTTCATTTTCATTCATCACCAGCTAATACTGGCTATCACTCATAATGAGCTGATAAGAAAGTATGCCAGATGTAAGATCAAGTAGGGTACCTTCTGGGCCTTTTAGTTCACATTTTCACTAAGTAGAGCACAGATTATTCAAAAAATAATTATGTCAAGCTAAAAAAAAACTTCTGTAAAGTTGTCTGCAAGCTGACAATTTGTGCAATTAAGGACATCTCCACCCTATCATGGGCAAATGCAGACAAGATACAAAGCGCACAAGAGTGCAAGAAAATGTGAAAAGAAGAGAAGAAGAAAATGTGTGTGTGCCTTTAAAAAAAAAGCAAAATTAATACACTGTAAAACAATGATCATTTTAACTCATAAAAGTAAGCAAAATAGCTGTTCTAAAATTTCAAGTACAATAAACTGAAAACTTTAAGGCAAAAGTAAGGTTATGTACTTTTTGAAGTCAAAACTCCAAATTAATTTTTACATTGTACATAAAAGATAACTCATTTAAAGCCAGCCAAATCTGAGCCTGATGTTCTGTGTGAAAAAATGTTTACCCAATATTTTGTAGGGCCTACCAGGCTTCGGTCGGGTTTTTGGGTTTTAGGCAAAAGGAGTTACACTGAATCACTATTTAGCATTTAAAATGTATTAATAACTATAGATAAAATGTTTGTGTTAGCAGGACATTAGAGAGAAAGCATGTAACATAGATGGTTGAAGTGGAGAGAGAAAATGTGCAGAGTACTTTAAGAATGCCATCATTCAATTATTATGCGTGCTTGTATACAGCTTTTTGATCGGATGCACGGATTCCGTGCAGCCATGGAATTTTGCGGAATTTTTTTCCCAAACGAATGAATGGGGTGAAAAAATTGCATTGTCAACTACTGTACTTCTGCTTGACCGAAAGACACCATTTCGCATACACTATCTCAGGGCAGGCCCCCAAGCACAAATTCACTGTTGTTCTGACCCACACTCATCCGTTTGTCGTTTTTTTTCCATCCCTTGTTTCTCCCATAGACTCCCATTCATTTTTGCCACCCCACAAAATCTATTACTTCTTTGCCCAACAGCCACCAAACTACATGTCCTCACTCAGGGCAGGCCCTCGAACTCTAATCCACAGCCATACTGACCCGCACTCCTCTATGTGTCGTTTTTTCACCCTCGTTCCTCCCATAGAGTCCCATTTATTTTCACCCAAACCGTAGCCCTGGTTTTTCCTTTTCCCAACAGCCACCAAAATGCATGTACTCACTCAGGGCAGTTCCCAAGCTCTATATCACAGCCACACTGACCCGCACTCCTCTGTTGTTTTTTCATCCCTCGTTCCTCCCATAGAGTCCTATTCATTTTCACCCAAACCCAAGCCCTATTATTTATTTGTCCAACAAACACCAAAATGAATGTACTAACTCAGGGCAGATCCCCAAGATCTAATCCACAGCCACACTGACCCACACTCTTCTATGTATCGTTTTTTCATCCCTCATTCCTCCCATAGAGTCCCATTCATTTACTCTATATGCCGTTTTTTCATCCCTCGTTCCTCGCATAGCGTCCCATTCATTTTCTTTCGCAACAAAAGCCCTAATCTGTCTTTTTCCCGACAGCCACCAAAGTACATGTACTCATTCAGGTCAGGTCTGTAATCTACCACCTTACTGACCCGCACTCCTCTGTGTGTAGTTTTTTCATCCCTCATTCCTCCCACAGAGTCCCATTCATTTTCACCCAAACCGCAGCCCTATTATTTACTTTGCCCAACAGCCACGAAAATGCATGTACTCACTCAGGGCAGATTCCCAAACTCTAATCCACAACCATACTGACCCGCACTGCTCTATTTGTCGTTTTTTCATCCCTCGTTCAATCCATAGAATCCCGTTCATTTTCGCCACCAACCAAGCCTCATTATTTCCTTTGCCCAACAGCCACCAAAATTCATGTACTTACTCAGAGCAGATCCCCAAACTCTAATCCACAGCCACACTGACCTGCACTCCTCTATATTTTTTCATCCCTCGTTCCTCTCATAGAGTCCAATTTATTTTCTTTCACAACAAAGCCCTAATCAGTCTTTTTCGCAACAGCCACAGTGCATGTACTCACTCAGATGAGGTGTCCAAGCTTTAATCCACCACCTTACTGACCCACACTCCTCTATGAGTACGTTTTTCATCCATCAGTCCTCCTATAGAATTCCATAGTAACCGCGGCGCAACCATTCCGCGTTTCCTTTAGGAAATGCGCTTTTCTAGTTATTATGGTTGCAACTATATTGTTATCCGATTTATATTATTCTCTTTTATTCTTATTTTTCTGCCATTTCTTTGCCGCGTAACTAGTCCCGCAGTTTTCGAGATATCAACACCGTTCCAACTCCAGATTGTCCGGCCTGATTGTGTGAGGCGTGCTTGTATACAGCTTTTTGATCGGATGCATGGATTTTGTGTAGCAAGGGAATTTTGCAGAATTTTTTTCCCATAGAGAATGAATGGGGTGAACATTTGTATGCCAATCTAAGGTACTTCTGCTTGCCCGAACGACACCGTTTTTGACACACTATCTCAGGGCAGGCCCCCAAGCATGAATTCACTGTTGTTCTGACCCGCACTCATCTGTTTGCCGTTTTATTCCATTTGTTTCTCCCATTGACTTACATTGAGCTGACTGTTGGCAGCATGCCAGACATGATCCAAACTCACGCACCGAGCCCAATGTCTCACACGCTCAAAGCCTAATGCTCAGCAGTATCAGCACACATAATGATTTTTTTAAGGTGGAACTGCTTTTAAGGTGGAATTGCACTTAGCTAGTACAAGAACTAATCCACCGCCATACTGACCCACACTCCTCTTTGTGTCATTTTTTCATCCCTTGTTTCTCTCATAGAGTCTCATTCATTTTCGCCACCACTCAAACTCTATTACTTCTTTGCCCGACAGCCGCCGAAATGCATGTACTTACTCAAGGCACGTCCCCAAGCTGTAATCCATAGCCATACTGACCCGCACTCACGTTTTTGTCGTTTTTTCATCCCTCGTTCCTCCCATAGAGCCTCATTAATTTTTACCACCACTCAAACTCTATTACTTCTTTGCCCGACAGCCGCCGAAATAAATGTACTTACTCAAGGCACATCCCCAAGCTCTAATCCATAGCCATACTGACCCGCACTCCTCTTTCTGTCATTTTTTCATCCCTCGTTCCTCTCACTGAATCTCATTCGTTTTCCCCACCACTCACACTCTATTACTTCTTTGCCCGACAGCCACCAAAATGCATGTACTCACTCAGGGCACATCCCCAAGCTGTAATCCATAGCCATACTGACCCGCACTCCCGTTTTTGTCGTTTTTTCATCCCTCGTTCCTCCCATAGAGCCTCATTAATTTTTACCACCACTCAAACTCTATTACTTCTTTGCCCGACAGCCGCCGAAATAAATGTACTTACTCAAGGCACATCCCCAAGCTCTAATCCATAGCCATACTGACCCGCACTCCCGTTTTTGTCGTTTTTTCATCCCTCATTCCTCCCGTAGAGTCCCATTCATTTTCGCACAAACTCAAGCCCTATTATTAACTTTGTCCAAGAGCCACCAAAATTCAAGTACTCACTCAGGGCACATGCCCAAGCTGTAATCCATAGCCATACTGACCTGCATTCATCTCTTTGTCGTTTTTTCGTCCCTCGTTTGTCCCATAGAACCTCCTTCATTTTTGCCACCACTCAAACTCTTTCTTCTTTGCCTGACAGTCACCAAAATGCATGTACTCATTAAGGGCAGGTCCCCAAGCGCTAATCCACAGACGTGCTGACCTGCACTCATCTATTTGTCGTTTTTTTTGGATCCCTCGTTCCTCCCTTAGAGTCCCATTCATTTTCAGCCAAACCATAACCCTGTTTTTCCATTGTGCAACAGACACCGAAATGCATGGGCACATTCCCAAGCTCTAATCCACAGTCACACTGACCCGCACTCATCTATTTGTCGTTTTCTCATCCCGTGTTCCTCTCATAGAGTCCAATTTATTTTCTTTCACAACAAAGCCCTAATCAGTCTTTTTCTCAACAGCCACCAAAGTACATGTAATCACTCAGATCAGGTCTCCAAGCTCTAATCCACAGTTATACTGACCCTAACTCCTCTTTGTGTCATTTTTTCATCCCTCGTTCCTCTCCTTGAGTCCCATTCATTTTCGCCACCTCTCAAACTCTATTACTTCTTTGCCCAACAGTCACCATAATGCATGTACTTCTGCTTGTCCGAACGACACCGTTTTTCACACTATCTCAGGGTAGGCCCCCGAGCATGAATCCACTGTCGTTCTGACCCGCACTCATCCGTTTGTCGTTTTATTCCATCATTTGTTTCTCTCATAGACTTGCATTGAGCGGACTGTTGGCAGCATGCCAGACATTATGTCACAATGGGCCGTTAACTCGCACACGGAGGCCAATGTCTCACATGCTCACAGCCTAATGCTCAGAAGTGTCAGCACACATAAGGATTTTTTTAAGGTGGAACTGCTTTTAAGGTGGAATTGCACTTAGCTAGTACAAGAACTAATCCACCGCCATACTGACCCGCACTCCTCTTTGTGTCATTTTTTCATCCCTTGTTTCTCTCATAGAGTCTCATTCATTTTCGCCACCACTCAAACTCTATTACTTCTTTGCCCGACAGCCGCTGAAATGCATGTACTTACTCAAGGCACGTCCCCAAGCTGTAATCCATAGCCATACTGACCCGCACTCACGTTTTTGTCGTTTTTTCATCCCTCGTTCCTCCCATAGAGCCTCATTAATTTTTACCACCACTCAAACTCTATTACTTCTTTGCCCGACAGCCGCCGAAATAAATGTACTTACTCAAGGCACATCCCCAAGCTCTAATCCATAGCCATACTGACCCGCACTCCTCTTTCTGTCATTTTTTCATCCCTCGTTCCTCTCACTGAATCTCATTCGTTTTCCCCACCACTCACACTCTATTACTTCTTTGCCCGACAGCCACCAAAATGCATGTACTCACTCAGGGCACATCCCCAAGCTGTAATCCATAGCCATACTGACCCGCACTCACGTTTTTGTCGTTTTTTCATCCCTCGTTCCTCCCATAGAGCCTCATTAATTTTTACCACCACTCAAACTCTATTACTTCTTTGCCCGACAGCCGCCGAAATAAATGTACTTACTCAAGGCACATCCCCAAGCTCTAATCCATAGCCATACTGACCCGCACTCCTCTTTCTGTCATTTTTTCATCCCTCGTTCCTCTCACTGAATCTCATTCGTTTTCCCCACCACTCAAACTCTATTACTTCTTTGCCCGACAGCCACCGAAATGCATGTACTCACTCACGGCACATCCCCAAGCTCTATTCCATAGCAATACTGACCCGCACTCCCGTTTTTGTCGTTTTTTCATCCCTCATTCCTCCCGTAGAGTCCCATTCATTTTCGCACAAACTCAAGCCCTATTATTAACTTTGTCCAAGAGCCACCAAAATTCAAGTACTCACTCAGGGCACATGCCCAAGCTGTAATCCATAGCCATACTGACCTGCATTCATCTCTTTGTCGTTTTTTCGTCCCTCGTTTGTCCCATAGAACCTCCTTCATTTTTGCCACCACTCAAACTCTTTCTTCTTTGCCTGACAGTCACCAAAATGCATGTACTCATTAAGGGCAGGTCCCCAAGCGCTAATCCACAGACGTGCTGACCTGCACTCATCTATTTGTCGTTTTTTTTGGATCCCTCGTTCCTCCCTTAGAGTCCCATTCATTTTCAGCCAAACCATAACCCTGTTTTTCCATTGTGCAACAGACACCGAAATGCATGGGCACATTCCCAAGCTCTAATCCACAGTCACACTGACCCGCACTCATCTATTTGTCGTTTTCTCATCCCGTGTTCCTCTCATAGAGTCCAATTTATTTTCTTTCACAACAAAGCCCTAATCAGTCTTTTTCTCAACAGCCACCAAAGTACATGTAATCACTCAGATCAGGTCTCCAAGCTCTAATCCACAGTTATACTGACCCTAACTCCTCTTTGTGTCATTTTTTCATCCCTCGTTCCTCTCCTTGAGTCCCATTCATTTTCGCCACCTCTCAAACTCTATTACTTCTTTGCCCGACAGTCACCATAATGCATGTACTTCTGCTTGTCCGAACGACACCGTTTTTCACACTATCTCAGGGTAGGCCCCCGAGCATGAATCCACTGTCGTTCTGACCCGCACTCATCCGTTTGTCGTTTTATTCCATCATTTGTTTCTCTCATAGACTTGCATTGAGCGGACTGTTGGCAGCATGCCAGACATTATGTCACAATGGGCCGTTAACTCGCACACGGAGGCCAATGTCTCACATGCTCACAGCCTAATGCTCAGAAGTGTCAGCACACATAAGGATTTTTTTAAGGTGGAACTGCTTTTAAGGTGGAATTGCACTTAGCTAGCACAAGAAATAATCCAGCGCCATACTGACCCGCACTCCTCTTTCTGTCGTTTTTTGATCCCTCGTTCCTCTCATTGAGTCACATTCATTTTACCACCACTCAAACTCTATTACTTCTTTGCACGACAGTCACCAAATGCATGTACTCATTCAGGACAGGTCCCCAATCGCTAATCCACAGCCGCCCTGACCCGCACTCCTCTATTTGTCGTTTTTTCATCTCTCATTCCTCCCGTAAAGTCCCATTCATTTTTGCCAGCACTCAAACTCTATTACTTCTTTGCACAACAGTCACCAAAATGCATGTACTCATTCGGGGCAGGTCCGCAAGCTCTAATCCACTGCCTTACGGACCCGCACTCATCTATTTGTCGTTTTTTCATCCCTCGTTCCTCCCTTAGAATCCCATTTATTTTCGGCCAAGCCATAGCCCTGTTTTTTCCACTGTGTAACAGACACCGAAATGCATGGGCATATTCCCAAGCTCTAATCGACAGCCACACTGACCCGCAGTCATCTATTTGTCGTTTTTTTCATCCCTCATTCCCCCCGTAGAGTCCCATTTATTTTCTTTAGCAACAAAGCCCTAATCTGTCTTTTTCTCAACAGCCACCAAACTACGTGTACTCTTTCAGATCACATCTCCAAGCTCTAATCCACAGCCATACTGACCCACACTCCTCTATGAGTGCGTTTTTCATCCCTCATTCCTCCTATAGAATTCCATAGTAACCGCGGCGCAACCATTCCACGTTTCCTTTAGGAAATGCACTTTTCTAGTTCTTCTTCTTCTCTTTTATTATTTCTATTTTTCTGCCGTTTCTTTGCCACGTAACTAGTCCCACAGTTTTCAAGATATCAACACCGTTCCAATTCCAGATTGTCCGGTCGGATTGTGTGATGCGTGCTTGTATACAGCTTTTTGATCGGATGCATGGATTTTGTGTAGCAAGGGAATTTTGCAGAATTTTTTCCATAGAGAATGAACGGGATGAAAAAATTGCATGACAATATATTGTACTTCTGCTTGACCGAATGACACCGTTTCGCAAACACTATCTCAGGGCAGGCCCCCAAGCACAAATTCACTGCACTCATCCGTTTGTCATTTTTTTTCCATCCCTCATTTCTCCCATAGAGTCCCGTTCATTTTCGCCACCACTCAAACTCTATTACTTCTTTGTCCGACAGTCAGCAAAATGCATGTACTTATTCAGGGCAGGTCCCCAAGCTCTAATCCACAGCCGTCCTGACCCGCACTCATCTATTTGACATTTTTTCATCCCTCATTCCTCCCATAGAGTCCCATTCATTTTCGCCCCTAACGAAGCCCAATTCTTTCTTATTCCCGACAGCCACCAAAGTACATGTACTCAATCAGGGCAGGTCCCCAAGCTCTAATTCACAGCCATACTGAACCGCACTCCTCTATGTGTCATTTTTTCATCCCTCGTTCATCCCATTTCCCAAGTCCCATTCATTTCCACCCAAACCCCAGCCCTATTATTTCCTTTCACAAACAGCCACCAAAATGCATGTCCCCACTCAACGCAGATCCCCAATCTCTAATCCACAGCCATGCTGACCCGCACTCCTCCGTTCCTCCCATAGAGTCCCATTTATTTTCTTTCGCACCAAAGGCCCTAATCTGTCTTTTTCCCGACAACCAGCAACGTACATGTACTCACTCAGGGCAGGTCCCCAAGCTCTAATCCACAACCACACTGACCCACACGCCCCTGTCTGTCGTTTTTTCATCCCTCGTTCTTTATAGAGTCTCATTCATTTTTGTCCCCAACAAAGCCCTAACCCTTCTTTTTCCGGACAGCCACCAAAGTACATGTACTCACTCACGGCAGGTCTCCAAGCTCTAATCCACAGCCTTACTGACCCGCAGTCCTCTATGTGTAGTTTTTCGTCCCTCATTCCTCCTATAGACTTCCATTGTAACCACTGCGCAACCATTCTGGATTTCCTTCAGGAAACACACTTTTCTAGTTATTCATGCTATTCATTATTCTATTCAGTTCTATATTACATAATGCATTGTACAATAAAGCTGGTGTTCTTAACAGAGAGCACATGCTATATTGTACTAGAGACTCTTAACTCCAGCCCTGCCCCACACAACTGATCCAACTCATAATGGGCTTGTTAATTAGCTGATGAGCCGGATCAAGCATGTTGGGGGAACAGTTAAACTCTGCAGTGCAGTGGCTCCTTAACACTGGAGCTGAGAAACACTGGTTTGTACAAAGTGTGTGTGCTGTGTGCACTCACTGTGCTGGGCCTCATACTGAGAGCCATGGTGTTGGAGCTGCTGGCTTCTGCGGTAGCATCCTTCCCCCACTTTCAGCGCCTGTTTGAAGAGTTTTTCTGCCTCTACAATGGTGGTAGCCTCCTCTTCAGCTAACAGTATGTATGCTGTAGCACAGCTGTAACACAGTCAGAAGAACATATGGCTAAAAACAGACCTTACTAGGTTCTAGTAATCATAGGCAATTAATGACCGACATGTATTGATAAAATCAAGTAATGGTTATTGATTAAACAGTTAGTCTAGACTAAAACAAATAAATAGGGTTACACTGGCTCCTTAAAGGTTTCCAGTTAGAAAGGGCAAAGTTTTGATTAAAACAAGCTCGACTGTTATTTCATAAAGCTTGACCTAGGTCATAAATCAAGTGCAAAACACATAGGCAAGATAAAGTGTAGGCTACACTTACCTAAAAATTATGATTAACTGCATATGACTTAACACGCAAAAGCTGTGCTATTAATATGAAGCTTTAGAGGATTACAAAAATGTCAGCTGTAATTGATTATGAGCTAATGTTTTACTACTATAACACTAGTATTAGTACATTTTCATAAAAAAATAGAAAGGACACATATATGTGTTTTCCATGTCTCTTAAAGCCTTCTGGGACCATTTAAAGTGTTTCTTGCATGCTTATTGCTGTAAGCTATATTTGCAGCTGAATCTCAACCCTCATACACTGCACAAAGGCACCGCTTTGTTTTTCTTTATAGAAAATGAATTGAGGAGTGATTTTTTCAAGTCATTTGGTTTTATCAACTGCACAGTAAATTCCTATTTGCTTTAATATCATTGTAAAAAATAAGTGACTCATTTTAGTTCAGCAAAGTCAATAAAATTCCACTATTCACTACTAATCACTGAACAACAACCAAATCTGAATTGAGACATCAAATAGAAAGAATAATAAAAATGTACATTCCAAGTATTTTGTGCACTCTGTGTAGTAAAGACAATACCAAGTGTTTCAGCTGTAGTCTCTGGTATCTGCTGGCTTGTATTTACATGTCACAGCAGATAAAAATGAAAGCAGACAGAGCAATAAGTCCCAAGTACTAGATATGAAAAGGTCAGGTGTCTGTATGGTGTACATATAACAGTGCAGCTCACTCCTCAAGCTCCAGTGCTTCATGTGCAGCAGAGATTCGCGCCTGTGGGTTCCTCTCTCTCCACGCCTTCTGCATTACTAACAAAACACAAAAAAACAAATACAATAACAAATATTGAAAGCAAAAAGATGTTTAAAAAAATCAATTAGACTGTATTATTGTTCCCATAGTTTACACATGTGATGAACTGCTCAAAACCAAACAGAAACACTGACAGCCGCACGCTAATACCCACACACAAAAGTGCACTGAGAAAGACAAAACAAATCCTTATAAAACTGAAAGAACTGCAACAGGTGTACAGCTAATTTGTGGTTATTTCTCAGTAAAGGTCATCATTTAATATTTCAACAAGATTGCAAATAATTCACTAATTCACAAATGGTTTGCCACTACAGATTTATAATAAAATTAAAATGAGAATGTAATAGGCAAAATGGCAATGTAATCCTAATTTTCCACTCAAAGATGCAAGTTTGGGCTCAAAATGAAAATTCAAATTCAATAATTCTATTTACATTTGCCATTTGGTGCAATGTAGTATTCATATTTCATGTACACAGAGATTTAGATGCTTTGTGAGTACCTTTATTTAAAGTTAAATGTATTTCTAGAACTTCATATTCATGCCTTAAGTGATTATGTAATAATGGTGTCATATTGATAATTTAACTCCTATGCATTTGCACTCTCTGAAACAGTTTTTGAAACTGCATTATCAAAAAGAATACCAAGCTAGAAAGATATCAAAATTCAATTGTAAATGGGAAACATTTTATAGTCTTACCAACCTGCTGATCATCCCACCAGGGAGGGGCCAACAGCATGTGCCCCTGATTGGCATAGATTCACTTTTCTTTAATAAAAATAGATGTATTATTTGCCATATTGGCAAACACCATCAGTTTTCCACATTAGTTATTTGCCGACAACGCTGTATAAAGGACTTTATAAACTGCAACCCAGAAAGCTGGCCACCAAGGGTCTCCAAAATGCAAATGGAATAGTAATGAAAGCAACAGAAAATAAATGATGTCCACATTAACTATGCTGTGTTTTGCAATGCTTATTTGGCACATGTTCATGATTTCAGGCCTTCTCTGGCTCTCAATGAAGGTTCATTGGCCAATACAGCCCACTACTTACCGGCTAAAGTCATCTGTTCATAGTCTAGCCTTTACTATGAGCTATGAAAGAAAAAATGTCTAAAACACCTGTATGAACATAAAACAAACCATGGGATATGTGAGTAATTTCATTTAAACATTTTCATTTTAATAATTTCATTTAATAAGCGGTGAAGGATATGGTAAATGTGAGCTGCAAATGTTTGCATGCCTGACTTCATGAATGTGCATTTTTAAGGTGTAGTACAGTGACAATGCAAATTGATCTTAACGTTATGCTATATAAAATAAAACTTGTTTATTGATTAAATATTGAATGAGGAGAGCAGTGACCCATTTTATCCCCAGTTAGCCATGTGTGCATACTTTATTTTTTATAGATTGTAGATAAATTGTTATTGTATTCTGTTTTTTTATTTTTTATTTTTACCCAATTATCTCCCCAATTTAGTCATAGCCAATTCCACCCGCTAGTTAGGACTCCCCCAATCACACGATACTATCAACGCTAGGAGGGCGAAGGCTAACACAGGCTTCCTTCGAGACCTGTGAAGCCAACCACCGCTTCTATTTGAACTGCCGCTCACGCAACGTCACTGGACAGAGAGAGCGAGGCCAATTGTGCTCTCTTGGACTACAGCTACGGATGGCTGTAGCATCACCAGGGATCGAACCCGCGATCTCCTGATGATAGGGCCAACGCTTAGATGGTTGCGCCACTCGGGAGCCCGGTTTAAATATTTTGTTGAAATTAGAACTTTCCAGACTAAAGTCCACATTAAAACAGTCATTATAACTTTAATGTGGATTGGAGCCTGACATAAATACATAAAACATAAACACAGTAAAACAATTATTTTTAGTTTTAAAAAATGTTACTGATATCTTGGTTAGAAGAATATAGTCAGAAGAATAACCGGTTCACTGCACTCCAGCAGCGGCTTTCTTAAATTTTGTTAGTCTCCAAATATGGAATGTATGAATGGAAACTGTAACAATGTTTACAGAATAAATCAAACGTCAGATAAATTCAGTTTCGCATGATAGAGGCTCTTTAACCTCTGGATAGCCTACTGATGATGATGCATCATTGAACATTTAATACTGTGCAAAAGTCGTCAAACACTTGAACCTTGTGGGACACCTTGAGTAACAGTGGAAATGGAGGAACTGTGTCCAGGGAGAGTAACAAATTGCTTAAGATGATAAGAACTGAACCAATCAAGAGCAGAATCAACAACGCCCAGCTCACTTAATCTTGAAAGAAGGATGGAATGGCTGTGTCGAAGGCAGCACTTAAATCAGAGCAAGAATGCTAAGAGCACCAGCATCCACCTAAGGCATCTCTATAAGCAAACACATGTTGCCGTAATATGCTCTGGACCCATCTCAGTTCAATGTGGCGCGAAATCTACGGCAGGTTATGGTCGCTGAACTGCTGGTTGTCCAAGTGGTGCTCAGAAAACAAAGTGGGTTTTGTAGATAATTGATCTACTTTTGAGGGCAAGCCTGGTCTTTTGACTCAGGACGGTATCCAGCCCTCGCAGGAGATAGCGGCTCTCATTTCATGTAGCCGTCAGTGTAGGACAGTCAGTCGCTGACAAAAACCAGGGCCAATGCCAGGCAGCAGACAAACAACTGCTAACTGCCTTGAGACGCCACATACGTTCCACCCAGTTGAGACTGTGTCTGTTCCCCGAATAAAACAAAGCATCAAAAATCCTTGAAAAGTTTGCTCTAGTAATTTGATTATATTAATATTAGACTGGTTATACCAGTATGCAGTGACAGCACCTTTGGTCTAAAACTAGGACTGCTTAGAACACATGATCTCTTACATCTAAGGCCGCCGTTGTAAATTAAATTCTTACCGATCATGATTTTGATGTTCTGTGCCTCACATAAACGTGGATTAGACCTGATTAATACTTTGGTCTAAATGAAGCCACCCCCACAGGCTACAGTCATAGCCCTCGTTTAAGCGGCTGGGGTGGAGGTATAGCAACCATCTACACAAAATCTTTACGCGTGAGCCAGAAAGTAGTCTACAAGTTCTATTCTTTTGAAATTCTTTTTCTTAACATAAGTGATCGAGGAACAGACAAGAATTAAAATGCTTTTTCTCCAACTACAATCTATAGGCCGCCAGGGCCGTATTCTCAGTTCTTACAGGAATTTTCTGACTTACTATGAAGTTCAATAACATTTTTGAATAAAGTAATAATTGCTGGAGATTTTAATATCCACTTCGATAAACCTCAAGATCCACTAAGTAAGGCATTTATATCTATCTTAGACTCTGTAGGTTTCACTCAAAATATAAAGGGGCCCACTTATTATTGCAGTCACACTTTAGACTAACCTTTAGTGTGAACACAGATCATTTAGCCATTCTCCCCCAGAGCACAGCAGTCTCATATCATTACCTAATCTCATGCGAAATGATAATTCTCACAAATCAGCTTTATCAGCTGTCCATCTATTCCTACCGAATTCGACCATGTGCTTAAAGTATACTTTTCGTTCTACTGATGCACCTGATTAAACTAGTATTCCAGTCCGTCTGGAGGGATAGCTTTATAGACTATAGAAGAGCACTTATTGCAGCGCACTCAACCTATCTCTCCTCTCTCATTGAAAATAATAAGAATAATCCTAGATTATTATTTAGCACTATTTCTAAATTGACTAAGAACCAAACAGTTACTGAACCCCAGATGCCATCAGCCTACAGCAGCAATGATTTTTTCTCAGTAAAGAAAAAATTCTGAACACACAGTTAAACCCTATAAACCTGCTGCCTTACAAAGCCAATCCAGATCTTGAGAATATTGTTCATACTGCAGAGAGGCTAGAATCATTTATCTGAATTCAACAAACTGAGCTAGTTAAAATTATTTCGTCATCAAAATCTTCTACTTGCATGTTAGATCCAATGCCTACAGGTTTACTTCAAGAAATTTTGCCAGAAATAACCAAGCCCATTCTGTCAATAATAAACTCCTCTCTTAGCCTTGGCCATATTCCAAAAACTCTTAAACTAGCAGTGATGACGTCTGATTAACAAAGCTAACCTTGATCCCTGCGAGCTATCAACTTATAGACCTATCTCAAATCTTAGGACCTATATGATTCACATTATATATGCTACCACTGGGTACCACTATTAGTAAACACGACATCAGCTTCCACTGCTACGCCGATGACACACAGTTATATATAATCAACCAAACCAAATGATAAACTTCAACTTAACAACATTTAGGACTGTATAAAAGACATAAAAGAATGCATGTCGAGTAACTTTCTTCTACTCAACTCAGATAAAACAGAGGTTCTTCTCCTTGGTCCAAAAGTGGCTAGAAACAAACTATCTGATTTAACTTTTAAACTTAATTGTTTCTCATTCGCATCAGGTACATCTGTAAAAACCTTGGTGTCATGATAGATCCTGATCTGTCCTTCGATGCACATACTAGAATAGCTTTCCTGCATCTAAGCATCACCTGCAATTAAGAAATGCATTGTCTCTACAGGATGCAGAAAAGCTAGTTCATGCAGTTATTACCTCAAGGCTGGACTACTGTAATGCCCTCCTGTCTGGATGTTCCAAAAAAAGCCTCAACAAGCTTCAGTTAGTCCAGAACGCTGCAGCCAAAGTCCTCATAAGAACCAGAAAGTTCAACCATATCAGTCCAGTTTTATCAACCCTACACTGGTTGCGAGTGAAATTTCACATTGATTACAAAATTCTTTTACTCATGTAAAAAGCACTATATAAATTAACTTTGACTTGACTTAACTTATATAGCCTTTCAAGCCGACAGTCGGACTGCTTCAGAATGTGCAGTTCAGCAGTTTACCAAGGTGCAGAACTGGTGAAAGAAACAGTTTTGGTTTTTACAAGGGCTAATACATTGAGGGACTCAGTGAGAGCCAAATTAAGCATTGTAGCACTATCCTCAGGAGAAGAAAGAGCAGAATGGAGCGGAAGAGCCATAGCAATAAAGTGGATAAGAGAACAAGGGTCTACAGATTAAACATTACGAAAAGGGATGAGTCTTTTAACCAGATGATGATTACAGTTATTGGGACAATAAACAGAATGAGCTTATGGTCAGACATTGGAAATGGAAGAGAGTTGAGATTCACAATCTGTACAAAGGAGGAACAAACCAGGTCAAGAATGTGACCTCCATCATGAGTGGAAAAGTCATTATGTTGGGTAAAAAGAAAACAGTCAAGGAGTGATAGAAAATCAGTCACAAACTTGATAATCAGGAGCATTAACATAAATATTGAAATATTCATATATTAGCTATATATGAAAATTCATATATTGATATATTGGCTAATGCTACAAGTCAAAGACAAGACCAAGTGAAAAATAGAAAAGTGCCTTTCCCAAAGACAACTGCTAGGGTGTTAGGTAGTTGCTAGGAGTTTGCTATTATCCCAAGTGCTTGCTATGGAATCTTGAGTGGTTGCCAAAATGTTGCTAAATGGTTGCTAGGGTGTTGCTAAGCAGCTGCTATGGTGTTCCATGTGGTTTTTAAGGTATCGCTAGGTGCTTGCTATGTCATCCCAAATAGTTTCTAAGGTGCTCCAAGTAGTTGCTATGGGGTTTTAGGTGGTTGCTGGGAACCTAGGAACTGTCCTGTACATGTTGAAGCTACCATAAAAATTTTCTTTTAACATGTAAATGGTAATGGTATTCACATAAAAAGAGATCAAATAGTCAATTAATTACCTTAATGACTGTTGCTATAGATTTAGCTCTGTGATTAACTATTTCAATATTTCACAAAACAGCTTCTCTGAGCTTGAGACTATAGTTTGAAATCACACGACCAATAGCAGTCTGAACAGTCTGGGCTATCACTTAAAAATAAATACTCAAAAACACATAATACCAGTTACATATTTTTTGAATCATCATCATCTCATGATCTCAACCAGCCCTGTGACCAGAAGGTTGCCGGTCCCCTGAGCCGACAGTACGTGTCTGAAGTGCCCCTGAGCAAGGCACCTAACCCCCAACAGCTCCCCAGGCGCTGCAGATAGGACTGCCCACCGCTCAGGGCACGTGTGCTCACTGCCCCTAGTGTGTGTACATTCACTAGTGTGTATGTGCTGTTTCACTGCATGGATGGGTTAAATGCGGAGGTGAAATTTCCCCGTTGTGTGATGAATAAGGGTCACTTAATCTTAATCTTAATTTAGACGGTGGGCTAAAATGGTACACCATCACGGTTTTAGGGAAGAAAAAAACATTAATTATTGAAATGATTAGGGCGAACTTGGATTGTTCTGTTTCTAATATGGACAACCAATGCAATTTTTGAATGTACTAATTTATTTTTATGTATAATTACAGAAAATACTTGATAAAGTGAGCTCTAATAAGCATGACCAGCTAAAACGTACATGACAACACCTCACATACTTACAATCCCCCAACAGGCCAATCCAGAGCAGGTATTACTTGGGTGCTGGATCATTCTCAGCACTGCAATGACACTGACATGGTGGTGGCATGTTAGTATGTGTAGTGTGTTTTAAACACCTCAGTGTCACTGCTGGGCTGAAAATAGTCTGCCAACCAAAAATATCCAGCCAACAGTGTCCTGTGGGCAGCTATACCAGACTAGAGGATGACCAACTAAAATTGTGCAGCAACAGATGAGTTACGTCTCTCTGTGTCTCATTCACTGACCACTGAAGAACTAACAGATTATGCAGTGAAACAGATGGACAGTCTGCAATTGTAGTACTACACCTGTAACGGTAAGTAATACAATAAAATAAACATGTAATGAAAGTAGTAAAACGAATAAAATAAAATGTCAAATAACGGTTAAAAAAAAACCCATTTTTCATGCAACACAAATCAGACTTAACAACTTACACATGTTAATCATTAGTTTGTTTAAAACAAATGTCAATAAATCAATTAAATTTCATTTTTCTGCAAATATATTTTTTGTGAGTTTTGTAAACATTGGTGGTGAATTTTCAGTTGTGGGTCTGTTCTTCTATTTAAAAAGAGAAAAGTATTTTGAAAAATTGAGTACAAAGTAGTCTAGAGCAGTATTCTACAAAGTTATTTTCTCTAATCACCAACTGACTAAAACCAGTTACGTCACTTGACGTTGGTCTTAATTGCTAGCTTAGTTCAACATGCTAAACATATTTAATGATGAATGAATTTATATTATGAATACAACTGTCAACAGTTTATTACAGTTTCCTGTACAGTCCAGAAGCCATTTTATAGAAACACCCTTACTCTGAAATCTTATCTGTTTAGTCACTATGACAATTTTAGGTAGGACTAAACTTAGGACAAAAGTTATTATAAAATAACAATTCCTAAGTTCATAATTTTAATGTAACTCAAAAAAGAAAATGGTATTAGAGAAGCATCTAAGCTAGACAAAATGTCATCAATACTGTCCTAACTTCAGGACAACCCCAGTGGTGTCCTAACTGCTGTTTAACTGTTCGTTTCTATCATTTTTAGGCAACTGTGACAGGCAGTATAGTTTATAAATATATGGTATATAGCATAACTATAAATAGCATAATGATTTTACCCCCCATTCCTAAGGACATGATTTACATCTACTTTGTAGATGAAAATATGTAATTTTAGACACACACACAAAACCATACACACACGTATACATTTTGTATTGTGCATATACACAATATGCACTCACTTTGTGGTGTACTTTGCAGTTGTTAATTAGTTGTAATTACAGACTGTAGTCCATCTGTTTCTCTGCATAATTTGTTAGTCTCCTTTTACCCTGTTCTTCAATGGTCAGCACCCCTACAGGACCACCACAGAGCAGGTAATATTTGGGTGGCGGTTGGGTGTGTTGCGCCCGTACGAGTGGATCAGACACAGCAGTGCTCGAGTTCTTAAACGCTGCATCCACTCACTGTCCTCTACCACCTTGTTGATCCACCATGTAAATGTAAAGTCAGAAACAATAGCTCATCTGATGCTGCACAGTTTGTGTTAGTCTTTCTCTTGCCCTTCATCAGTGGTCATAAGATGCTGCTCACAGGATGCTTTGGTTGGTGGACTATTGTCAGTCCAGCAGTGACACTGAGGTGTTTAAAACCGCCAGTTGCACTGCTGTGCCTGATCCCCTTAAACTAGCGCAACATACACTAACATGCTACCACTATGTCAAAGTCACTGCAGTGCTGAGAATGATCCACCACCCAAATAATACATGTTCAGTGGCTACTCTGTGGGGTATGCAGAGGTATAGATAGACTACAGTCTGTGATTTTGAGAACTACAATGTGCACCTATACAGTCAGTGTACCTGATAAAACAGACAAAGTGTTGTGCTCTACAGACATTTGTGGTAAATATTTTGCGTCCTTACTAGCATCAGCGGGGCGGATGTGGTCTGAGTCGCAGGTAAAGAAGGTCTGATGGTCCTGTGCTGAAAGATTCATGTCATAGTATGTGAGAGGCTCTCTACCAGTAACCCACGTGTATCTGTAATAACAGTAACAGCAACAGTTAGAGACAGATATTCTTTAAAAGGATCAGGAGATGATGAAGGAACAGGAGATGATGTATTCTCCTTTATAATGTACAAGATGCACCAAACTTGCAAACTGTTCAATGCAGCCATAATTAAAAGGCTGTTGTCCCAGGCAGATATCAAGCCTTTATGATTTCATTAGACTAAGAAACAAACACAAAATGTGAAAATGTACAACATCTTGCTCTATTCTTGGCAGTATTTTTTACACCTGTTTTATTTGTAATCACATCTTGTAATTGCGTTATTATTTTTAACAAATTTTGTGTCGTCACAAGAATACAGTTTATGTCTGACACAAAATGTTCATTTTAAACAGTATGCATGAGTATGCAAATTCTGTTACCAGCACAGCCCATCTTGAATCTAAATTCAAGTATGACTTCTGGTATAATAACGAAAGCATTCTACAAAACATGAAGATAACAAGGCTTTTGTTGACTTAAGGGTGGAGGTAAAAATGATACATAATCAGAAAAAAAAAAATTGTTTCTACAGTTTTGCCTTTATTTTTGCCAATTATTTTTTTTTGAATGAGAATATAAACTTCTTTTTATATATTTTTACAAATAACACCACATTGTCATGTTTTTAAAAAATATATTTATGTGATATGATTAATATATTACATAATGAGTATTCAAGAAATAATATATAACAAAGTAATTAATTGATTAATTAATTAACTTGGTATTATTGAATACTTTGCTGATTTCAGAGAATGATGACTGGATTATGTGATTACCAAAAGCAGTAGAAGTAAGTTTTAAAGAATGTCATTTAATTAGTTCTGAAGCTATACCTATGGTTAGTTTTAAAACAAAGACAAATATGTATATAATAGCAAACTTTCTGGTTACTGTCTAAACAAATTCAAAAGAATGCTTTCTTAAATATGGAGCAATATATAAAAGATCTGACCAAGGGCAAACAGGTCATCATCTGCAAAGTGTTTCAACATTAAGATTCCAGACTGAGAAAAATGAGTCACTAAGGATGTAATAAGGACATAACTTGCAATTCAATTTAATTCATGATACTGGGTTTAAAATTCACGATATTTTAAACAAAATATGAATAAAGGAAAATAATCATTTTAGACAGTTTATTGCACAACCTACTAATGAGACTAGAACTGGTAGATGGGAGGCCTGGAACTAGGAGTGCACTACACAATTCTAAACATACCGTTCACTTGTGTTACTGTGATTGCATCTTTTGGTGTTTAAACAATATTCTTGCTTTTAAAGGCTGATATACTACAATGGAAAATAAAATGTTCTCCTAGACTTTTTATTTGAGAGCAAATAGTAGACCATTGGTATGTAACACATTACATACAAAAGTATGCATTGACAATTAAGTTATTGCATCCTCTTACTTTTTCAGTATTATGTTGGTGCAAAGCTAGCAGTAGTGTAACACATTGAATTTAATACTCATAAAACCAGACATGTGAAGCTTGTAGCAGGCATTCAAGCAACATTGTTTTGTTTTGTACGTCGTACAAATCAGTATCAGTAAATATTTTAACTTTAACTTTGAATATTACCAGAAGATCCTTTTAGCCGTCTGCCAAGCTTGTCAGCTTAGATCTAAAGTTAGTTGGTAAACAAAACAAGTTCACTACATGACTTTATTGATCCTATACTTCTATATCTTTACTTAATTAAGTAAAGATAAGATAAAAATCATTAAATTAATTTCAACAAGATTTTTCACCAAGAATTTAACTTAACACACAGCAATTACACTGTTTTATGAAGCAGAATGATAGATTATAGGTGACTTAAATACTGTGCCTCACATAAACGGTCACTGATCTCATGTTAAGCAAAAGAGACCAATCTAAGTGGAGAAATATATGGACGCCATTCTAAAAATAACCGGCTAACATTTGTGTTCTCTCTGCTAAAAGGCTGTACAGGCTCATTAGGGTTTCCCGTTGGTGCGGTTGCAGACAGTCCCAAATCAGCCCTCAACGGTTTCAGTTCAAAGACATTAACATGTCCTGTGCGTTTATAAAGGCATTTTTTTCACAAGAAAACTAAGAGGAAGCTGATTGTCTATGTTAACAATTAATGATCATTTCCACATATTAACATTTTGCACCCATCATTCAAAAACTATTGAAGGAAGAAATAATTCTTGTGAAAACAAAACTAACTTCGCCGCTCACAAAACTGAGCTCTCTTTTCATGATTGAGAGCTGTTTGTTAATGTTAGCTCACTTCAGCATTAAAATTTGGCAAGTTATGTTGGCAAAATCTACATTTATAACTAGTCAAACCATAGATTTTAAGGAAGCAACAAAAGTGAATAAAATAGTTTACTTCCGGATCAGATTAGTTTGCTCATGTAGAATCTGGCGATATGTAAAAGCAGTTAAAAGACTGTTTCAAACATCTTAAGGAATACGCTGCAGATCTCAGTTCTGACTTAACGTTCTGTTGACTGGCTGAAAAAAAGACCATGAACTGCTGCAGGGGAGGGGGATTCTTCAGAAATCTCTCCTGGTAGCAGAGGCTTCCCCTCATCTTGGAAAAATATTCTTCAAATCTACACAATTAACAGGACATATTTATCATTAAAAATGGTGAATTTAGACAGAAGGTGATGAGTCTGCCTGTATTTGATTTGAATGTAATGCTGCTAGTAATCACTTACACAGATATCTGTCTTTTTGCTGTAACTGTAATCTGTTAGTTACAGTAAAAAAAGAAATTTTTGGTATTCTGATTATGTAACGCCATTACGTATACAACCCCATTTCCAAAAAGGGGACGCTGTGAAAAATGTAAGCAAAAAGAAAATGCAATGATGTGCAAATCATTTAAACCTTATATTTCAACAAAAATGCTTCAAAGACAACATATCAAATGTTGAAACTGAGAAATTTTATTGTTTTTTGAAAAATATATGCCCATTTTGAATTTGATGCCAACAGCAATGCCTGGTTATATTCTGGGATGAGGTCAACAAAAGACTGGTAAAGTTGTGTAATGCTTAAAAAACACCTGGTGGTTAATTGGCAACAGGTCAGTGACATGATTGGGCATAAAATGAGCATCCCAGAGAGGCTGAATCTTTCAGAAGTAAAGATGAGGAGGGGTTCACCACTCTGTTAAAGATGTCAAAGCACATTCTGCATGTATTACAACAGCATGGCTCTGTATTAAAAGAGTCCGGGCCCTAAACTGGCCTGCCTGCAGTTCAGACCTGGCACCACTGAAAACATTTGGTACATCATGAAATAAAAAATAAGACAAAGGAGATCCTGAACTGTTGAGCAGCTAAAATCCTACGTTAAGCAAAAATGGGAAAACATTTCACTTTCAACACTATAGCAGTTGTTCTCCTAAGTTCCCAAACGCTTATAGAGTGTTGTTAAAAGAAGAGATGATGCAGCACAGTGGGAAACATGCCCCCGTACCAACTTTTTTGGAACGTGTTGTTGGCATCAAATTCAAAATGGGCATATATTTTTCAAAATAACAATAAAATTTCTTAGTTTCAACATTTGATTTGTTGTCTTCATACTATTTTCAATGAAATACAGGGTTTAAATGATTTGCACATCACTGAATTTTGTTTTTATGTACATTTTGCACAGCGTCCCAACTTTTTTGGAAATGGGGTTGTATTCCATTACTACCCAACCCTGATAAACATAGCAGCCACTTTATTAGGTACTCTTTAACATAAGTATAAAAGACATATGACTCAATCAGAGCTCATAGATTCAAATTCTAAGACTTTATGATTATCAAAACAACCAAAGGGACTTGATACAAGTGAATTTCAACAGCAAAATAATATGAACCTAAATGAAAGTATAATACAATGATGATGATTTTAAATTAATAACAGCAGAAATAGCCACATTTTTACTTTGATCTAAAAGGGTTAGTTATTTTTGCAATGCTGACAAAGGTAACATTTAACATGACATGTTAATGTGCATTAACATCACTTATTAAAAGGTTCATGGTGGTGGCAAACATAAGACCTTCTTTTCTTTTTCCTTCTTCATATGGCCTTTCAATGCAGAGTAAAGGTCAAAGGTTCAAGGTCAAATTTCTTCAGTTCATGCAATAATGTCATACCACCACATGCTTATTTACTTTCTTGTTGAAGCTAATTCTTATAGTTGTCATTTTCCAGCCACCGCATGTTAAACTGATAACTGTGATTGATATCAAATCTACATTACTAGCTAAAAGACTATCCAGCCTAAAGCTAACAACATGATGCACATGCTACTTGATTCCACAAATAAGAAAACACAAAGTCATGTGAAATACATGGGCAGGGACAATAATCCTGTGAAAAATCAAGTAAGGCCGCGTTCACTTGGTGGAGAATATTTGCAAAAAGTTGGCATTTAAAATGTGAGGAATCCACACATGACAACTTTTGCAAAACGGCGAAGAAGCCCAGTGAATCTTCATGAGTGGTGTTATGGACGGGAAGTTCAAAACTTCTGCAAACATCACACAAAAAGCTTTACCTCCGAAAATCAACATTTTTCAACTGGATCCATGAGGATCTGCAGTGAAACCTGTGAAATCTGCATCCTGCCTTAGGATATAATGGCAGTTTGGGCCATCTCAATGTAGCCTCAGGCCATTTGAATGTTTGTGAGTTTACCTCATGAAATAAAAATGAACAAAGAAACCCATGATAATATTTTCCATGACTTTTAAGTATGTTTCTTAATTTTATTTTTTTTCCAAGAATAATTCCATACTGGATTTTGGCATATGACAAAACTGGCATGTGATAGGCATGTGATAAAACTGCACTGCTCAAAATAACCTCAGTCGGTCTAATAATCACAATTCTAACAGCGTGGTGAACCTAATGCAAGCTACATTAGGTGCACCAGTGCCTTGGGACAGTAGCTGTTTGAGGAAACATAAATAAAGCACAAATAAAACTGAACTATAATATCAGAGAAGCACCTCTGGCATGAGGCGGAATAAGAGGTTCACAGCATGACTATGAGGCAGAAACATAATGCCAGAATGACATGATGGTATCGATGAAGTTTTCAAATAAATGTTACCAGCAGCTTGTGTGAACCTATGCTGTGAAAAATTCAGGGTAAAAATTAGTCAAAATGGGGTCCCACCCAGTCCTAGGCAGGTGTACCTAACTGGGATGTGCACATGTACTCTGTTAACTGTTCCAGGTGCCAGTATTCAAATATTACTTTAAGAAAAAATAATAAATATTTCTCAAATATTAATTGTTATTCTATATTAACTGCTGAGAAAAAACATCCTGTGGAAGATCACAAGTCATACTGATTAAACATTTGTCTTAGAACCGTATGCCCAGGCCAGTGGGTGTAGTGTGTCTAGCTGCCTACTTCATGAAGCAAATATCACCACTGTTTGGGCCCACAACAAATGCATTTGTACTACTAATTTAGTATATATAAGAATGTACCCTGTTCCCTTTGTATGTTTGTCTTTGTATTATTTGGCAATACATGGAAATTAGGAACCTCCACAGAGGTCAGAATAACTCTGTCCTGGTCATTAAAGTACCTGACTGCACCCTTGCTCAGCTATTTTAACACTACAGAGCAAGTACCTTACGGACTGGTTATTTTCAATGAGTCATACTGTACAATTGGTGTGCACAAACGCAAGCACTTTAGGAATACAGTGGAAGATAAATGGCCAGGGCAACATAAGATTCTTTTTCATAGTGATACCTGTCAAAGAAGAACATGTAATAATTGTAAGAAGAAAGCAGTAACTCACCGGTTATATTCTGCCCCTCGAAATAAATTTAGTGGATTTCTCCATACTTTACATTCTAGAAAGAGAGAGAGAAAACAGACAGAAAATAATAAGAAAAATGTCATGTCTCATCAAAAAAGTAGCTTCTATAATTGCTCAGCATCTAGTCCAAATCTGTCCCACAGTTCAGCTCAAAACTGGACAGACATTTATCTTTATTCAGATGGTTAGAGGGGATCATTAATAATAGGGTTCCCCAGCACTGGTTTTGCTGTCGATGTTAAGGCACTAAGCATAGACACAAAAAAATATTTCAGAAATGTTACATTTTAATTCATAAAAATGCCAGCTGATTTGCCTGATTCAATGACTACTAAATGAAAAAGTATTATTACATTCACTATTCTCATTCACTCCTGAAAGCACCTATACACTGATCAGGCCTAACATTATGACCACCTCCTTGTTTCTACGTTCATTGTCCATTTTATCAGCTCCACTTACTATATAGGTGCACTTTTTAGTTCTACAATTGCAGACTGTTGTCCATCTGTTTCTCTGCATACTTTGTTAGCCCCTTTTTACCCTGTTTTTCAGTGGTCAGGACCCCTGTGGACCCTCACAGAGCAGGTACTATTTGGGTGGTGGATCATTCTCGGCACTGCAGTAACACTGACATGGTGGTGGTGTGTTACTGTGTGTTGCGCTGGTACGAGTAGATCAGACACAGCAATGCTGCTGGAGTTTTATTTACAGTGCAGGCGATTTAGTATGGCAATATTCATGACAACATTTGTGCAGTCCACTCGGGAGGCAGCTGTGAGTAGGCAGAATTTTATGGCAGAATTCACCTGCTCCCAAGACAAAGACTGTTCCATGCAGAAGTCAGCAAAAGTTGTCTTCTAAAGCAGTGGTTCCCCACCCTGGTCCTGGAGGAGCCCTGCCCTGCACATTTTAGTGTTTGGCCTGCTCCCAACACACCTGATCCAACTAATCTGCTAATTAACAAGCCCTTCTTGAGTTGAAATGGGTGTGTTTTTTTTTTTTACAGGAAAACACAAAAATGTGCATGGCAAGAACCAGTCAAAACTGGGGGTAAAGGGGTCAAACATACTAAAAGACTGATGCCAAGCAAAGTTCCATTTGGCTGCCAAAGTGGATATGATGCAAGAAACAAAAACAAGAAATAATGAAAACCACAATTCTCAGAAAACAGAGCTACAATTTTTTAAGGAAGTAGTACCGGTAAATAATGGTAAATTGTTTTATGTAGAGACTTTTAACTTTTGAAACCAAGAAAGACAAACGAAGGAAGTGATTGTATTTGTTTTCAGTATAGTGTCAGTTAAATCTGCCAATCTAAAATCCTGCTCAAGCAAATTCCCTTCCTCCTCGTGTAACAGCAGTTACAAGCTTGAGTGGTTCAGTCATTATTCTGTGCTGAATTGTGTCATGTTATAAATTGCTACCAGTGTATGTAAATGAAGAAAAAGTGTGACCATGCCTCACATCATGCAAGTGGTAAAACATGCCAGCAATCCTTGTTTATGAATAAGCAAATGTTTCCATAATGTTACCATAATGCTATTTGCTCTTAAAGTCATGGTAAATCTGGTCCACTATCTCTTTACAAGACAGAACACAAGAATACAAGAAAGAACACAGTTTAAAATGCTAGTTGTTTGCTGTTTAGTAGCACTTTACACTCTGTGAGATGCTGCTGCTAGTTCAGATTTGTTTCTGTACTGAGGGACTATAAAGATGAAAGTTACAGAAGCTCACAAGCACAGGCTGAGGACAAGGGATTATTGTTATAAAGGAGAAAAATTCATACAGAAAAGCAGCTCTTTTTTCCAGCACGTGTGGGGAAAAAAGCAGTAAGAGCCAAAACTACAGACTGACCTTGTCCCAGAAAGATAAAAATAACGTAACATACAGCAAGACATAATGGCTATTAAATTTAATGTTTTTCTAAATGAACACAATAAATGCTTGTTTTTGCCTGCTGTTTTGTCTTGTATTGCTTGTCACAATGACATCAAGGCAGGTGAAGGCTAAAAACTAAATTTGACAGAAGCTAATCTGATCCACTCATCACACCACCACCACCATGTCAGTGTCACTGCAGTACTAAGAATGATCCACCACCTAAAATAAAACCTGCTCTGTGGTGGGCCTTTTGGGGTATGCAGAGAAACAAACGGACTACAGTTTGTGACTCTAAAACTACAATGTGCACCTACACTATATGGACAAAAGTATTGAAATGCCTGCACATTACACCTACAGGAGCTTTTATAACATCCTATCCTAAATCGCATAGGCACCGATATGGAGTTGGTCCCCTTTTGCAGCTATAACAGCTTCCACTCTTCTGGGAAGCTTTCTACAATATTTGTGCATGTGTTTAAATTTTTAGCCCATTCATCCAGAAGAGCATTTGTGAGGTCAGACACTGATGGACAAGAGGGCCTGGTTCACAATCTCTGTTATAGTTTATCCCAAAGGTGTTAGATGGGGTTGAAGTCAGGGTTCTGTGCAGGGCAGTCAAGTGCTTTCACACCAAACTCACCCAACCATGCCTTTATGGACCTTACTTTTCGCACTGGGGCACAGTCATGCTGGAACAGAAAAGGGTCTTCCCCAAACTGTTCCTCCAAAGTTGGAAGCATAAAATTGTTCAAAATGTCCTGCTATGCTAAAGCATTAAGATTTCTCGTCACTAGAACTAAGGGGCCTAGACCAACCCCTGAAAAACAACCACATAGCATTATCCCTCCTCCACCAAACTTTACAGTTGGCACAATGCAGTCAGGCAGGTAATGTTCTCCTGGTATTCACCAAACCCAGAATAGTCCATCAGACTGCCAGAGAAGCATGATTTGTCACTCCACAAAGAACATTTCCACTAATCCAGTGTCCAGTGGCAGCGTGCTTTACACCACTCCCCCCGACACTTGGCATTGTGCATTTTGATCTTTGGCCATGGAAACCCATTTCATGAAGCTCCTAACAAGCAGTTCTTTTGCTGATGGTGCTTCCAAAAGCAGTTTGGAACTTTTTAGTGAGTGATTTAACAGATGACAAGCACTGTGCACTTCAGCACTCAGTGTGGTCTCGTGGCTAAGCTGTTGTTGCTCTTCCATTTCACAATAATAGCACTTAAAGTTGACAGGGGCAGATCTAGCACAACAGATATTTCACAAACTGACTTGTGGCAGAGGTGGCATGCTTTGACAGTGCCATGTCACTGAGCTCTTTAGTATGACTCATTCTACTGCCAGTTTGTCCATCGAGATTGCAAGGCTATGTGCTTAATTTTATCCACCTGTTAGCAATATGTGTAGCTGAACCACCTGAACTCAATAATTGAGAGGGGTGTCTCAATATTTTTGTCCATATAGTGTATATGGTAAGTGGAGCTGATAAAATGGACACTGAGTGCAGATACAGATACATGTGTACTTAATAAAATGGACAGTCAGTGTATACTGTATATGATTTCATAAAGCTTCAATAGGTAAAGCTCTCAGGTATGTAACAATATATTAGAACTGGCACAATTAATTTGAATACTTGTACTCTTTTGTTTCATTGGTATTTGATTCTCTATTTAGTATTTGAAAATGTATTTTTTAAGATGTAACAATTGTAGCCTAAAATAAACATCAATAATAATTTCATCAGCAGAGACCTGTAGGTAGAACAGTTATTATTAACATCTGCAAATGTTAATAATTAACAAATTACAACTGGCTTAATTTAGAATGCATCATAAATTATTTTCAGGCATCCACATCTCCTCACTTCAGAGCGTAAGAAACTGCACTGCTTTCCACATAGCCATTGACGCTAGTATGCTACAAGTGTACAGATGCCTCAGAAAGAAATCATGTGTAGGCAGTTTAAATTATCAGATGATAAGAAAAAGGCTCAGTGCAAAATGTACCACAAAAAGTTGATTTACCATGGGAGCACAACAACTTTGATGAAATATTTCAAATATGTAAATGATAATTATCCAAATTCTACATCACATGCATCACAGCCTACAACTCAGATCTGTTACGCATCCACTTTAGGTGGGAATATGAGCTTTTTTTCTTTGTAATCTTCTAATTAGACAGTTTTATAGCAGGTAACACAAGATCACAATCGCAAATTTTTACGCTGCATCAGCAAAAAGCATCCATATTGTTAGAACACCACGTAAGCCGTTCTGCCACTACCACACAAACAAGATCATCACAGTTTAGTAAATTTTTACTTTATTTGTATATAGTTAAGATTACTGCATAAAATCTTTGAGCAATTAATGCTTCGCTGATGCGCAAGTGGAAACAAAAGGCTTGTGTTTTGAGAGATGCAAGACATGTGTGCACAGCCATGTGGGCACAGCCAGTGTGATTCCAACATTAATTAAAATGGAGTATTTTCTGTCAGACAGATGACTAAAAAACGCTTCAGATGTTACTGTGTTTAAGGGTGATATATGCTGCAAAATAAGAAAACTGTACCTTAACACTTGTACAAATTTGGGCTGTTAGCTATGGGAGGCAAATCCAGCCAAAAAGATTTAAAAGAATTTAAAAGAATTAAAACAACAAAATGTAAAAGCAAACCCCTCTTTGCCATTTCTTTTTCCAAATATCTGCGCAAATATCCTACCAAAATTGAAAATGAAATGAAATACCTACATGTGCAATTTAATTTTTCACATACGCATGAGTCATTTGTGACAAAAATAAAAAAATTCAAAACAGCTATTTGTCATTTAATTTTAGTCATTATTCTGGTATTTCATGGCCATATCTAAAATGGAAAAGGATAAATCAACAGCAAAGTGACAGATTTCAGCGTGGATGCGCTTTACGTGTCAGAATGAAAAGGCAAACACAAACGAAAACAGGCACCATCTGCTGGTGATTTACTTTTCATTTCCCACTTTGCTTTTTTGTTTTCAAGTTCAGCAACATGCAAATATATGTTAACTAACACTAGGTGGGGCCAGGCTCTGGGAGGGGCTACTGGGTACATTTTAGGACATCCTCAGTCTCGGGAAAACCATAAACATCAGACCAAACAGAAGCTTGGTCGAGCACATACTGGTTCGTATAGCTTAGAAAGCTATTGTGTATTCTAGATGTAAATGCCAGTATAACATTTGCAAAGTGTTTTGAGAGTAAATAAAATCAGATATGGCTCACCTCTCTCCACACAAACTGCTACTTCTTATGATTGAGGCAGTTTTGTGTGATGGTGTTTGGTCTGATACCTTTTTTCTGAGGCTGTTTGGAATGACAGCGTTTAGTCTGATGTTCATTTACACCAGATCTGAGACATGATGATGGTTTTCCTGAAGCTGAGGTCTGAGGATGTCCTAAAATGTACACCGTAGCCCCGTCTAGTGTTAAATAACACATATTTGCATGTTGCTGAACTTGAAAACAAAAAAGCAAAGTAGGAAATGAAAAGTAAATCACCAGCAGATGGCACCTGTGCTTATTTGCATTTGCCTTTTTATTCTGATACTTTTCCATTTTCATTTAATCAAATATGAAGCCTATTGCTATGAAAAAGAAATAAGAACGTAAACAATGCATTTTGTTTTTAGTTTTGACATGCATTTTGCATTTCATGAAGAAAAAGCAAAACCAAAATGAAGCTTCTTTCTTTCTTCTCTCTTTCTTTTCTCTATTAGGTTTTCCATTTTAGATATGGCCATGAAATACCAGAACAATAACTAAAATGAAATGACAAATAGTTGTTTTAAATTTATTTTTATTTTTGTCACAAATGACTTGTGCTTATGTGAAAAAGTTAACTGCAAATGTAGGTATTTAATTTCATTTTCAATTTTGGCAGGATATTTGCACAGATGTTTGGGAAAAAAAAGGCAGAGGTTTGCATTTACATTTTATTGTTTTAATTTTAGTATCTTTTTTGGCTGGATTTGCCTCCCATAGTTAGCATAATTTTGAACCTACCAAAGGCCTAGTCGTGGTTTGCCCTTATTATCATTCAAGAGAAAGAAAAGTACATAGGTAAAAACAATACACCGCTAGACAATAAATTATCTACTTATTTACCTGAAACACTCTGTCGACTGGAGTCTGCATCTCCATTACTTGTGTTCGAGTTATTCGGAGAGCTGTTATCTACTCCCCCCAGTAGAGGACGCAGGTGACTAACAGATACTTGCTCAATGAAGGAAGTACCATACTTCCTGAAGTACCACCATTCAAATATCTGTAGGAGGAAAGAATGAAAAAAATGCACATAGAGCAAGCTGTAAATTGTAAAACACCAGCAAAACTACAGAAGTATAATGGTGACAGTCCAAGCCACGACCCCACTGCCACATAATTAATCTTGAAATCTTTATCTTAGAAAAAGTAACCATCCAAAATCAAAGCAGAGTTGTGAAGTACACTCAACATTTAATTTTTTTTTATATTTACATATTTAGCAGAAACCATTTTGGCTACAAAGGGGATTTTAAACTTCAGTTGCTTTAAGGGCAGCTACACTGACTGGTAAAACTTCATGAAGGTTGTAGCAGTGGGAAATAAAGTCACCTAGCAACAGACAGAGTAGTACACTGAAGTTTCTGTACACATCTGTAAGTTTTTACTTAACTATTTAAATGTTCAAAATCAAATGAAAAAAAAAAAGAATACAAATATTACATTTGCCTGGTGCTGTAAATTTAATGTTGCTTTGTCTACTTCACAAATAAATGTAAATGTAAGGATGAAGCGTTTTTTTAATTGTTGATTTTACATCAATGTAAAGACTGAAGTGAGATGAACAAAGAACAACCCAGATAAAACAATTTCTTTAAGAGGAATTATTTGCAGTGAAAAGTAATACAGTGCAATATACTGCAATACAGTGGCATGCAAAATTTTGGGCACCCCGGTCAAAATGTCTGTTACTGTAAACTGTTAAGCAAGTAAAAGATGACCTGATTTCCAAAAGGCATAATGTTACAGATGACTCATTAATATTTTAAGCAAGACACAGGACAGGCATGGGCCATCTGGATGGCATGTTAACTTCAGTAAATATCTCTGCAACACGTTATGTAGACATCTTTTACGTAACGTCCAAACTTATTTCTTCACATTCTGTTGTTCATTTAGTTAATTTTGGAATGTTTTAAACTAAAAATCAAAATCAAATAAATTGCTCCTTTAAGTGATGTAAAAAAAGAATGACAGCTTTGGCTGTCTCGTTCTGTGTTATTTCAAAATTGAAAAAAAAGAAATGTAGTTCATTTACATGATCACCAAATAGGTGACCACAGTGCACAATTTTTATAAATGTCAAAGAATTTATCTATTAATTGTAAAATGCTAAACAGTGCTGCGAACTAGGAGAGTGGCACTGGTTAGAATTAGCTATTAGCTTAGCTAGCATGATAAAGAATGTCTGAGATTCTGGCTAACTAAAGCACTGACACAAAATGATAATGACTCAATTCTAAAGGAAGTGAAGTCAAGCGTTTAGTGTTGAAGAGACAAAAGACGAAAGGAAACCTGTTTTTGGCGTTTGAATCTCCAGCTTGCTCGGCTAACTTAACGTTAGTTTAGCAAGCAGGCTACAGATCCAGTGCAGTCACCACAGTACAGGCTTAACTCTGAATAACTGGTAACACAGTTAAGATGATAAAAACGAATGTCTGACAATGCAGAAGTCGAGTGAGTAACAGAAAGCCGAAATCAAGCCCGTTATGTGGTGTTTGGGATTGTAAAATGCAAAATTTGCATCATCTGATCTTTTCTAACAATGTGAACAAGCCATAGCCCTAACAAGCTAAATAAGGCCTTGGAAAAAGTTATTTGAGAGCTCAAAGCTCTTGGGGTATCCAAAATTTGCATGGTGCTCCTTTACTTTTTGTCAATCTAAAATGGTACAAACCAAAAACAATATAATAATCTTGATTAAAACGTTGAGAAGAATGTTTCTTCTTTGACTTAATGCCTTTCGGAGATCAGTTCATTTTCTACTCACTTGACTATTCACAGTAACAGAAATTTCGACCAGGGGTGCCCAAACTTGTGCATGCCACTGGATGTCACATCACAATAATTGGTATATGACAAATTTTTAATATCGCAATAGCTACTTCACAAGTGATGGTCTCCTGAATGCCAACACCACATTTAACATGTTTAAAAGATCAACCATATCAAAAGGTGTGTTAAAGTCTATTAAAACAGCACACTTTGCATAATCAATTATTAGCACAGTCGTATGGAAAAGTCAAATGGTATGTTTTGTTGATTTCCTAAGTGAAAAGAAGTTAATATAGGATCTGCATAGAAAAAAGGTTAAATATAACACATTCATACATTTTATTTGTTAAATGTAATATAATGAAAAAAAATGAGGTAGTACAAAAGCTGTGCACCCTTTCAGTCCATGTACTAGTGTTTTTTTTTATATATTAGGCTGTAATAAAGTCAGGTGTAGCCAATTAAATACTGCAATATATTATGTGACCCTTCAAAATTCTCAGGGTGTTGTGATTTCATTTAACAGCTATGGGCTCATCTAAACAGCTGACTGAGGATCTGAAACTAAAGATAATTGACTCTTAGAAAGCAAGAGAAAACTATAAAAGATATCTAAACATTTTCTTCTTGTAATTTCAACTGTTCAAAATGTCATTAAGAAAATGTAAGTTAAGGGGAACTGCTGAAGTCAAGGACAACATCTGGAAGACCAAGAAAAAAATCTGGAAACAAACAACTGTTTACAGACCAGGTGTATACAGCACCATCTTTACCAAGGCAATACAGGAAAATTTGGCTGATACAGGAATAGTGATGCACTGGCCCACTGTGCAGTTTTGTCAGACATCATCTACATGGAAGGGTCTTCAAAAGGAAAGCTAAGCTGAAATACTTCCTCATGTATATGTTTGGTCAAAACCACTGTACAACCATAAGCACAAAAGACAAAAACAGTGCTAACCATGCTAATGTTATTCCATCTAGCTAAGTGGCTAAGTCACAAAGGTTTCAGTCATGTTTCAAATTAAAATGAAAACGCAGTCCCTCAGTCATAAACTAATAGACAGTTTTTTGGGGTTAATCTTGTGTCTAAGCCTTGTGTGTGTAAGATCAACTTTAGTTGATAAAAATGTTTCTTATTAAAAAGTGAAGGAACATCCCAGAATAATAAGCCACCGTTAACCAACAAAGATAAGTTTACTTTAGCGTCTAAATTGGTTTGAAGATACTTATGATGTATACTGAAACCGTGATATACATTTTTAGCTATACTGCTCACTACTGGTCTAAAGTTTGCAAAAGAATATTTGCATAAACCACAAGCGTTTGGAAACAAGTGCTGTGTAGTATGACGAAACAAAATTTTAATTCTTTGGCTACAACTACCAAAGGTATGTAATGTGTCTGTAGAGGATGTGTATGTATTTTCACTTAGAAAAACATTTGCATAAAACTGTATTTAATTAAAAGTACATTTCTATCATGAAATCATACATCAAATGATGAAATGAGAAATGAGAAACATTACTATAATTTTAACATTTTTCTTGTATCCTGTGGAAGATTCTTGGATTTTTTGAAATTACAAGGTTTTCTATTAGAATATGTATACTTGTACTCCACTGAACTGCGGCTGTGCTGAACTGAACTGTAGCTCTACTACAGTAAAATGCAGTTTTACAACACAGAACTGCAACTGTACTGTTTTTTTTTTTACAGAGATTAATTTGGGTTTTACAGAGATCTCTATCTTTTGAAAGGCAAGGTAGAGGAGCCATAGCAAATACAAAAAAATACCACCATAATGGAGTCTGGAATAAAAAATTACCAGAACGTACTAACGGAACTGAAGCAACTAGTACATATCAATAATTATAGGAACTGTAGAAATTCTGGCAACTTAAGGATTTACACCATGAGTGCTACATTTACATGCAAATATAACATCTGAGATAACTTACCAATATAAGTCCTGAAATCAAGGAAGAGGTGCCAGTCAAAGCCACATAAAATTTTGGGGTTAAAGTATTCAGGAACATGCTTACTGTGGACAAACAGAACATATGATACAGGTTACAAATGCTAAGCACCATGACTATGCAATACAATCTATGCAACTAATAGTAATAACTAAATTAAACCTAATTCAATTAAATTTTTGTGTAACTGTACTGTCATTAAACATTTTAGGGAATATCACCACTGCAGGCAAAGGCACAAAAATTCAATTCAGTCACACTTTATTTTAATTTTGTCCCCTAAATTGTCCCCTACAAATGTCTACAGATGCTCAAATTAATAAATTAAATTACAATCTGGCCGTAACAGATACATAGTTGAATGTTAGTTAAATACAAGGTGAGCATCTTTAAAACAGCTACAGTGGAATAAAGTGTTACAGTGAATTATGTTTGTCTTTTTGATGAAGAAAAAAAAATCATTAAGGTTCTTGTTTGCAGGGGAAAACGCCCCGGTACAGTGTTGTCCTCCACACAATTCACATCAATCGCTTTCATTACCAAGTTAAAACAACTATGGAATGCCTGTCAGAAAACTGGCAGGATGACTATATCACAAGTGTCTGCCTAGTGTACCAAGTGCTTATTGTACCATCTGACAATCATGATGTAAATGTCCATCTACATTAACACCCTCAAAAATTGCCACCCATTACTCTGTGAAAAAATGAGAAAAAAATGTGCAAAATAAATTGATGACAATGAAAAAGAAAAGTAATTAATGCATCTTACAACACACCTATTTGATTACTAAAATTTAATGACTGCATTTTGTCCTGTCTTTTCTCATTTATTTATCTTTTTTAAAATGTTACTCTATGTCTTTTTATGTCTCGCTGTTATTGTATTCATCACATATTTATGTCCTTTAACATTTATTTGTCTTAGAGGTTTAACGCAACTTTTCACACATTGTTGAGTTTACACATTGTTGAGTTTTTTTGAGGGGCCGATTTTGCTTTAAAGTAAATAAATAAAAAACAATTAATAACAAATGGGTTGATCGATTAATAAAAAAGTGTTCACTGGTTTAACTTTTTAAAATTGTATTAATTGACAAAAGTTGCATTGGATCATCTGATGTAATGCTGCTCTTTTTATCCTTTTCAACCCTTCCCCAATGGCATAAATGCTCAAGAACATGCAACTAAACAAAAACAAATGTCTTTTTTAGTCAAAGTCAATGTCAAGGTTTATTTATATAGCGCTTTTTACAATGTGTTGTCACAAAGCAGCTTTACAGAAAAATCCGGGTCCAAGCCCCCAGGATCAAGCCAATGGCAACAGTGGCAAGGAAAAACTCCCTAAGAGCAAGAGAAAGAAACCTTGAGAGGAACCAAGACTCAAAAGGAGAACCCACCCTCCTCTGGTCGACACCGGACAGCAAACAGCATTAGTACAAAACATTATAATACAAAACGGGGAAAACAACAAAACGGGGAAAACACTTTTGTCTTCCTACAAAGATACCTCTCCATCACATGACATATTGCCTCTAATGCCCTCAAAATTTAACTCATATACTTAAATCCCACATTTAACATATATTTAAAAATATGCTCTATAGACAATTTAGAATTTGGCAAGCTCTATTTATGTTAAAGTCACAGAATTTGGTTCAGTACCTTATGAACTAATATAATCAAATTGCGACTGAGTTTGAGCACTTAACTGAACACCAGAGTGTAACTGTCAAAATAGAAAAAAGCTTTCTTATATTTTATTCACACGGATTATGGCCAAAACCACTTTATCACAAAAATTATAATTGTAGGAGATATGCAGAAGACAAAACAATGATGCTAGTCAGAAAATTCGGGTCCAGTTTATTGTCAAAGGAACAGACATCAAATTGTAATGAGTTAATAGGGGGAAAAGAGAGTGGAAGGAAACCCCAGTCTCTTGGGGTTAGCCATTAGCCTAGCATGGAGAGTAGCCAGCTTTCTGCGTGCACGGCCTACAACGCTCCTCGCTCAGCCAGCTGCTTCAGGCAATGCCACGGTCTCGGGCTACAAGCAGAGAGGCCCCGTAGCTTCTCAGCTACAATTGATAGTGTGAACGTCATTTTTAATAATATTTACTAAATTCCAATTCCAGTGTTTGACAGTCATCGATTAAAGCTCAGGTCTAAGAGACACCACATATGAGACAAATAACTTTCAGACATAAAACATCATTCAGCACTGTTTTTGCCAGTCTCAGAGAGGCCACTGTGAGCTCTGCTGTTACTATTTCGCCCAATAAAAATATTTTAGGTTTATTTCAGTTAAATATGGTTCTTACTAAAACTGAAGGGACATCCAGAATAATTCGCCATTGTTAATCTGAAAAAAAGGGTTTCTTAAGCATCCAAAATGCCATTATTAGAAAAATAAATAAATAAATATACTATACTATAACATAAATTGTCAGTAATTATACCATGACATAAATTTTCGCCCATACCGCCCATTACTATGACAGCCTATACAAAACTCAAGCTTGATCTGATTCGACTCTGATAGGCCGTGATTGATAGCAAGATTCTACATCTGTGAAAAATATTCTTAATGTTATTTGAAGAACTCCAGGTGACAATTTTGCCCATTTTAGCACTAAACACAAAATAGCATGAGGTTGTTGCATGAATCAATGTTTCTTTACTTCATCTCTTACCTAGGATGCTTTTCACTAAACAACTGTATAATAATAATTAAACTATAGGATAAGAAAATGTACAAATACATACCTTTCCTCTGGGAAAAAAAAAAAACTTTAAGGTTAAGTTAAGGTATACATTGTTGGACCTTAAGACCACTGTTGTACCTTTGAGGGTATGTTTGCATTGCTTTTACCTTGATGAACAAAAATATACCTGTACAATACCCTTTTTCTGGCAGTGAGCCACTTCAGAAAGATCAATATAATGTTGGTATTTTCAATATGTTTGACATAACAGTAGTCAGGTTCAAAAATATATTATATGCCCTACACAGATGGCCACTCACACAGGTAATCACAAACATGACAACGATAAAAGCTATAATAATAAAAGAGTAAATAAAAGGCTTCAGATTTTTTATTAATGTATCTTTTTTTAAGGACAAGCTCTTTGCAAGCTCGTTGCCACTGAGTAACATAACAAGGCACTACCATATTATATTGTATTATTAATCCAACTATTTTATTGGCTTATTAATAATACAACTTTTTGAAGAGCACTCTGACATACAGCACATGCTTATAATTCTATTAGGATACTGTCCAATTATCTATCAGCATAGTATCCTAAATTAAAAGACAATATAATGGTTTTCAGAGTGCATTTAACTAGTATTTGTATATTTATTCATTTGTTATTACAGGTACTCTGTGGTCTGTCACGTAATTTTATTTTGTCCATCTGGCCCCATTAAAAACATCTGGACATCACTGGTTTACATTTGTTCTGGAATCCTAAAAAAAAATATTTTTTTGTTCCTAATAGTTGAGAAAAAATATAGTACACAAATTAATAAGAATGGAAATTGTGAGGTTAAACAACAGCTTGCAAGGTGTTTCCACCTCTCCACCTGTGCTAGATACAGATAGTAATTTTAATGCAGTACACATACCAAGGTATGCTCTGTATAATATAATCACGTCTAGCTAATGGCATACTGCAAAACCGTAGCACAGAAAATTAAAAAAAGACACTTTAGGAGAAGATATAGCCCCACAGAAAGAGAGTATAATAAAACAACAAAAAGACAAAATGAAAAACGGAATGCAAGAAATGTATTCTACACAAAAAAATACTGGACATGTAGACAAAATGGTTGACTCTAGAACCTGGCCTTGAAACATATCAAAAGGAGACATAATAACAATAACACAAAACAGAAAGAATGAAGAAACAGGGCTTAAATGCACAAACCAGACCTAAATGCATGTACAAGAACAGAGAGACACAACCAACTGGTGCAAGGAGGCTGGAGGATGGGTACTTACGCGAGGATTCTGAGCCAAACATGGCTGGGCTGGGTGCTGTGATAGAGAAAGAGAGACAGAAAGGGAGGGGGAGACAGAAAAAGGGGAGGGGATGATGAGCAGGCTGCTACTCAGCAGGGGTCATCAATGCACACAATGTAGCCGGCCAGCACAATGCAAGCCAGACGCTGCACTCCTGCAGCCAAATAGCACTTCTTCTCGTTCTCAGCAACATTAAAGCTTTAAACTGACATGCCACAACTCCAACAGCATCAGGATGTCCAAACACGAAAAAAAAAACACTCAACATCCACCATCAATCCTGGTTTGTTCAGATCCAAGGCTAGATGAGTATTAGCATTTCTCTTCGCTGCTGCATAATTTTTTTTTCTCTCCGCCTCTCTTGCTTCTCGCTCCTTCTCTACTCCTACCACTCTTCTCTTGTTAGACGAAACAGATGAATCTGCTGTGGTTAAAGCAGAGAGCGAACACTGAAATTGGTCATGCTGAGGCTGCTAGCCGGTGAGACAATAGCTATACAAACACTGGGTGACGTCAGAACCCTACAAAAAACTGACAGACTACTGTTTAGGGGTGGGGGCAAGGGGGATGGGAACAGACCAATCAGAAAGCAGTTTTGATCATACACTTATCACACAGACATGCTTACAAATGGAATTCAAACATCATCACATATCTATGTATATAAACTATAGCAGTCCTCAAATTACCTCCTCAAAAAAATCATGCAACATCAAGTAAGAGTGACATAATAATGTGAAGCCAATCACTTATTTTTATGAATGGAAATTCCGCTTAGTGTAATTTTAAACAGCACCTGATATATATCACACAAATTAAAAAATCCCGGAATATAAGTAGAACATTTCTCCCCTTAAAAGTCCTACTCTGCCAAACACCAGGAGCTGCTATCCTATATAACAAATACTCTAATTAGGGATGATACTCCAAAATGTCATTATTGCAAGTAAGAAAACACACAATTATGAACATTTCCTTTTATTTTAACACCTTACTACACCTTTTTTACACAACCTCCTGCTTGCTTTTTCTGTCTTCGTGCTACATGCTGAAGCCCTGCTCCTCCCCCATTTCAGAACTGTCTGAGGGTCATGACACAGGCATGTTAATTACACAGGGCCTTTCAAGAGAGAGCGGAGGAGGGGACCTCTTCACCTCAAGCAGTTCTGTCAAAACAGTTTAAGCTTCAACCATATAGGAAAAACCGTATGACAGGGCAGGAATTCAGTCAAGCTTCAAAGGTTCTTAATTAAAAATTTACTCACACTGAACATACAAAAATTGGGGATATCATCTTAAGACTGCACTGTACCTTCAACTTCAATTTGCATGGATCCAACAAGGCAGCGGAGGCTCGTCCAATTAAGCCAATTAAGCACTGCTTAATAAAAAGAAACAAATGCATTTCAAAATTTTAACTCATAATGTTGTCTTTGTTTTCTCTTTTTTGATGGTCCTAAATATTATCGCTTTCTCAAAACAGCGCATCCTGTTTAAAAAGACTGCATTACGCACATCCACGTCATGCTTAAACGAAGAAGATGGATCTTGTCAGTTGTGGAATTTACTTCTAGCAGTACATTTGACATCTCAGACCCTCCTGTTTTTAAGCACTCCTTAACTATTTTAAGCCAGTTGACTATTTCCAAAATAACGACTGACACTACTCTCTGACACACTACGAACCACATTTGTTTCTGAGCACTACTTTCTCCAAGCAAAGAAAAAACTCAGAACAAATTTGCAGTGAGAACAGCACTGGTAAGAAAATTAATCAGAAGTATTAGGCTAAGAGATGTGACAAGTGTTACTGAAGGACTTTTAATTAAACACAGAGAGTAGTACAGGCTTTATTTTATTCCTGAAGTTGAAAAAGTTTTGGATTAGACTATGTGGAAGACACACACAGCTCAAATGTTGCTACAACAAGCAGCTTTAAGCTAAACCAAAACTAATGAGTGATATTAAAGCAAAGGATGGTACATCTGAGTGCATCAGTATCAAGTTAATATATCAAGTTCTCTTTCAACAGCGAAGTTATTAAAAGCTAAATTAGTTAGCTTACAAGTGATCTTAACATTGTTGTTAGACATCATATTAAAATAAGCATTGCCAAATACAGACTGCTAGAATGAAAGTCTTCAATGAATAACATAAGTATGGATGAAACTAAGAAAAAAAATGAAACACATCACATTATGGTATTTCATTGTTATCCATAGGTGATTTCCAAAGCAAGTTTACTATAAAGATTCCAAATGTTTTTTCATTTTTCCTTTTTTCTCTTTTAAAGTTGCGAAGCACCTAATAGATTGTGAAAAAACCTCATCGGGGGCACTACGGGCACTCAAGTTAATAATGTCATTAAAAGGGAGAAACTAGCAAACTGACATCAAAGACCCAAAAACACACTCTACATAAGCATGCAAATGCAGGGTACATCCAGTGCAATCTTGTAATAACTAGACTACGCAAGTCTAGTTTTACTGGATGCCATCAGTTGCATGGAATTTCTCATGCAAGTGTATGCGATACAGCGTAAAATAGAGGACACAGTGTAAAATAGAGGACACAATGTATTTAGACTGTATATAACAACAACAACAACAGTAACGACAATGTTCAGTAATTGTTCAAGTAAATCAAGTTACCTCGTTTAAACAGTACTATTACACGGAACTCATTATGACAGAAGTGGCTTTTAAGGCACTAAGCTTCGCAATCATCCAGTCAGAGCCAAACATCCCGCACCCACATGTATCTGAATATTTTAAAAATTTTTATCTCCTCCATTTTCAAAATAATTTTAGCATTTCCGAAAATCTCGCCATCCACATGCGAATCCAAATGGGCTACTATGAGCATTCCAGCACAGTAGAAGGGGATAACACATCAAAAAACGTGATATCAAACGCCTCCAGAAAACTATGAGTATGTGTAGTATGTGCTGCACAAAATATAGCTTGAAACAGAGATTCTATCAAAGTGACAGCGGCATGTTACAAGCACAGTAGGCTTTGATTTGCAGGCCATCGAATATTTTGATATTTCACACAGATTTAATGTCCGATTTCTGAAGATAAAAGCTTCAAAAGCGAAAGAAAGTTTACTGTTTGTTTCCATGTGGTTGTTTATGTCAACATGGCTACACCACTCTCTCTGGAACACTCATTCCTGGGCTGCGCTGAGCCCCCAAAACATAGCAATATGTTGATTTAAACGGAAACGGAGGTGCACTGAATACTCGGGTGCAGACGCAACTATGGCAGCTGAGAGGGCCATTCCTGAAGTTCTTTTCAAAGAATTTTCTGAGCCTGATGAAATGGGTTTAAATACGTGTTTAATAATTCAAAATACGTCTAACATCTTCATCTGTTGCGTACAACAAGATGCAGCTGCCGCATTTTTAAATTACTATCAGAATTCATTGTGTGCACTGCTTTTTTAATACAAGCCAGTTGTACACTGTTTCAACCCGGGTTACGTTCAACCCGGAAACCGTGCCCAATGTTTTGAGATTGAACAAGCCCCAGGTCAAGCAGAGAATTTGAGATTATAACTCCATCTGAATTAAGAATTTCTAATGTTTTTTTCCTCAAAATCTGATATTGGTTAATGATTATCAAGTGACATAACTTCATAAGGGTCTGATGCCTCTGCACAATGGTTTAATGAATACCTAGAGCAAAATTTTCACTTATAAACATGTTATCACCACCAAAACACTAAGCACACAAACATCCAGTTGTCAACTGTATTTCAGACAGAGTTCTGCATGCTCAATGAATCAAAACAGCAACACGCATGAGCAAGTTAAGGGCAAGACGTCAGCATTTTCAAAAACTTCTGTTTTGGGGAGCAATTTCCAATTTTAGTTTTAATATGGTCAGGCAGCCAAAACACAGAGAAAAAAAAGTTATTAAAAATATCCAAATAAGTGCTGACAGGGTCTAATATGACCTCTACTCACACAAACGTCTACTACAGGGGTACTCAATCCTGGTCCTGGAGATCTCCAAGTCAAGAAAAATGTATTTTCTCTTCAGAGTGTAAAAATATGAGCTAAACCCACTCAGCAAGGGTTCAGTCCCTATTTCAGGTTACATTCTGGTGCACTTATTGGTCAGCTACTAGTGCATGGTGACTATTTTCACCTGGAACAGTCAAAATAGCTAAATAAGGCTGCTTATACTGCAAGATAAAGAAAAATTCCAAATGAAGTCAGATGCAGCTCAAGCTCAAATACAGTTACGCACTGCTTTGTTAATTCACCTGTCACTACGTTTTCATGAGACCCATAATGTGTTTCGATGAATGAGTTCCTGCTTTCCTCCATTATTTGTCAGCCTTATATTAGTAGTGTTGGTATGATAGGCTGATATTTACTGGTGAACACCTGCTTCTCATCTCAGGCAAAGCTTGCACATGCACATTTTAACAATGGAATCAGTCAGTCAGTTACTCAGTAAGAGACATCGACTCTTGTAGGCTGGCCAGCGGAGTAAATGTGGAGCATCTGATGCATTTTAAGGCAACTTTGAAAGTAAAAAAAATCACAAAATTATACCACTTTTGAATTTTTTTTTAAAGGAAGTGTCATTTTTTGCTTCTGAATATGATTCCAAGCAACATCGATATATACAGGATCCTCACAGTAAAAAGGTCTATTTGACATTCAGCTGGAAATGCTTTATTGGTTTCACTGATATACAATAATTGCTTATCTTTTCCGATTTTTGTTTAAACCAACTGCATAGTGTTCAGCTGTGTTCTGGTTGTGCCAAGTTGTTTGCTTTGTTGCTGAGACCTGAGAAGGCTGCCCGCCTAGTCTGATCTACTCCCAGGTGGAAAGGCCAGCTGAAGCCTGGCTACTCCCCTGGCTACAACTCTGCTACTGGCAGTCCCTGCCGCTCCTGCTCTGCTGCCCATAGTACCATCCGCTCTTGGCTCTGATATTACCACGAAGCTCCAGACTCTTTGTGTTATGGTAAAGAGAATAACTTAATAAGTGATCCTGTGATCCAGCGTAGAACTAATAACCCCAGTCACATACAAGTCCCTGCCTAACCCTTGTCAGACAGACAAATTCTAAACCACTCTAGGGATGCCTGATTGTGGTACAGTGTGCATGGAGTTCAATGTCCTGCCAGTGGTCAGGGACACTGCTGCTCCAGTGTTTTTGCCCATGGCCAAACAAGGCTCCACCACTAGGAGTCCTTGTTACCCCTGTGCTTAGACGTTTGGGCTACCTTGGGAATGCTGCTGCTGCTGACCAGATCCTTGAATTGATTCCGCTTGCACTTTTGGTGACTGCGCACTGGGCTAAACAAGTAATTTAAGCCAGAACTACACACAGGGTTATCTAAAGTTCAGATGTTTTCAATATTTGATGCTCCACATGCACATCTCAGCATTGCCAACAGGAGAGCAGTAGACCTCCTCAGCAGTTTCCTCCAACACGGAACAACTCCTAACTTCACTCTGTGAGCACAAAGAATCGCTACACATCATAAAAAACTTGAAGCATGTGTTGGCCATGTCTGCCTTCTAGGTTTGTATGCCATTTAAGCTAGCCAACAAGAGGTAGGCTCTAAAATAAAGTTGCAAGCTAACATTAGCTAGCCATATGTCCAATTAGTCACACGGTTTGGTAGCTACTGATAATGTATTCTATTGCCAATGGCCTAGGCATACATTTATGGTCTTTAACCTTATGTGGATCAACTAAAGCTAAACATGGAAAAAGTTTTCCTCTCCTCTCTTGGAGTAGGCGCAGTGCATACAGTGTTCAGTTTGAAAGCAGCTTTATGATGCCAATTAAATGTGTAAGAGTGCTCCCTCACATGCAGCATACATATTGCTGTTTGGTGTTTCCATCCAAATGATTGTTTCAATGAAAAATGCTTCAGAAAGGTTGTTGATGTAAGCTGTGTCAGATTTCCTTCTTGTGCCTCTTCCAACAAAAAACAAACACAAAAAGCAGGGCTGAGTTGCTGTCATCTGCATTTTATCAAGACTCAGAACTAGCCTACATCTCTGCATGCACTTTTACTCTGGGCAGCTTTAATGCTTTTAAACCACAGTGGCTACATTTTGGCGACACAAGCAATTAGCTTTTCAGTAATGACAATAGAGAGTTAATCCACACTTTTGACAACTGTTCTCATGTAGCAGTGTTTTTATACTGACAGGATATTAGCTTTGTAAAATAATACATTTAAATAGGATTTTAGTTAGTATAACACACACCCCTCATTATGTTTTTAACAGAATATATTTCAATAATAACAACTAAAATAAATTAGAATACACTGCTAGCCATGATTTTGAACTGTTTCTTTTGCTGCATAAACTGTGTTTCTATGCATAGTTTTGTACTTTGCTCCAGTTCAGGAAAATTAATTGAACTTCCCATCACTACAAAGCATGGCTCTGTTCAAAATAGCATACTGTGTACTGTATACCGCATAGTACATCAGTATATACAATCATGTACAGTTGGCTGTACTACAGGGCAAGGGCATGACAAGATTCTACCAACATCAGGGGCTGAGCCCAGGGCTTGATATTAAATGCACAGTGTGATTGTTCAAAATCAAAATCACTTGTCACTTGTTAATAACTGCACTGCATATGCCTACTTTACAGTTAAGTGTGAAATAATTACGATATGAGTGTGAAAGAAAGAGAACAAAAGAGAGAAAATAATTAATTTCTTCCAGTTCTCCAAATTGAGAGAGAGAGAGACAAAGATGTTAGTTTACTCAGTTATCTGGTGTTACTTTCTTTTTTATCCAACTATATTGTCACTAAACCTCAGTCAGTGTTATTAACTCTCTCTCTTCTCACTCATTCACAAGTTCATACTATTTTAAATCAGCAAGCGCTGGAGTGCTAACATTCAATAAAAGTCTAAATCCAGACATCCAAACAACTCAACATAAAATTAATGTTATCACTCAAGCACTTTAATATCATGTGAGCAAGCTGTGTGGTTTGATGGTTACTTTAACAGCTAACATAGCTATTTAGTTCTTAGACAAATTGGGGTGAGCATAGAAGGTAAAACAAAAATATTTTTTGGGATTTTCTTCTTTCGTTTTGGCATCATTTATGTATCAATCTAAGGCACACTGAAGGTATTAAAAATGTTCAAGAATACCCAAGTGGTTACTTCCATGGTTGCATCCTCCTGTAATGACCATGTTGCTTTACAGTATGCAGTATAAAGCTGTATACTGGAATATTCATCTGAGGATGTTTGTGCGTACTGGATAAATTTTAGTCATATTCTGCATGCTGAAGGAATGTTAGTCACATGCTACTATTTACTACTTTTGGGCACAATCAGTATGTAGTAGTATATTTACTGTTTTAGGGGACTTCAATACAGCTAACCTAATACAGATCACTGAAGCTATGTGAAGTACCTTCCTGCTTCATACGCTCCATATTAAAACGTAATCATCACAGGGCTGAATCACTGCAGACCCACCACACTGACCTCTGCACTCATAAAATCCTTTGAGAGCACACTTAAAGGACATCACAGACACTCTGTTGGACCCCCTGCAGTTTGCATATTGGGCCAGCAGGTCTGTGAAACGATACGTTAAACATGGAACTGCACCTCAACCAAGGAAATTTGCAAGAATCATGCTTTTAGACTTCAGCGCAACATTTGATACAATTCTTCTGGAACTGTTTCACAATAAACTCTCCCAACTCAGCATACATGCCTCCACCTGCCAGTGTCACTAGCTTCCTCACAGGCATTAAAATGTTCTCATCACATACTCAAACAATCAGTACAGGTGCCCCTAGTATGTGTGCATTCTCCAATGCCCTACTCACGGTTCACCATTGGCTGCACCTACACAGACACCTCTGTCAAAATCCTGAAGTTTGCAGATGACACTACAGTGATTTGTCTCATCCAACAAAGTTATGAGTCTACTTACAGATGGTTGAACAGCTGGTCCTTCTGAGTAGTCACAACAACTTGGAGCTGAACATGGTGGATCTCAAAACAGTTGGGATGATGATGAACTTCAGAAGAAGCCCCCTGCCTTGCCATCACAAGACTGTGATGGCTGTTGAGTCCTTCAAGCTCCAAGGAACAACATTTACCAGAGACCACAAGTGGGACATCAACATTGATGCCATCATAAAGAAACCCCAACTGTGGATATACTTTCTGAAGCAGCTAAAGTTGTTCAACCTGCTGATTCAGTTCTACACAGCCTTTACAAAGTCTGTCATCACCACCTCCCTCACAGCCTGGTGCAGCTCTGTTACCAAACATGACATAAACAAAGTAGAGCACACTATCAGGTCTGCAGAAAAGACCACTGGTATTAATTTACCCACTCTATTTGTACTGCATGTCTCCATAACTTGTTTCAGCTCCTCCCTTCAAGCAGGTGTTTTAGCCAAATGAGAGGTAAAACAACCAGACTCAAGAAAAATACCCATGAACATTGTCACACATAAGCATTTTATTTGACACCGTTTCTATACCTTTATTTTATTTTTATCTTATTCAATATTGCCATCTCTCATCCAGCTGCTGTACTTTAATTAAAACCTTTTTATACATAATTATACTAATCATAAGTCCAAAATACTTAATTATTTTAAGATCAACAAAATATATGGAGTCAGTACAATTTATTCACTTTACTAAAGTGTATGCAGCAGTAAACACTCTCTTCATCTGTTCTGTTCATTCTTTCACACCAAACTCACCCAATCATGCCTTTCTGGACCCTACTTTGTGCACTGGGGCACATTCATGCTGGAACAGAATAAGGCCTTCCCCAAACTGTAAAAAACAACCACATAGCATTATCCGTTCTCCACAAAACTTTACAGTTGGCACAATGCAGTCAGGCAGGTAACGTTCTCCTGGCATTTACCAAACCCAGACTCGTCCATCAGACTGCCAGACAGAGAAGCGTGTTTTGTCACTCCATAGAATATGTTTCCACTGCTCCAGAGTCCACTGGCAGCATGCTTTACACCATTTCGCCTTCGCTTGGCATTGTGAGTTTTGATCTTAGGCTTGTGTGTAGCTGCTCAGCTATGGAAACCCATTTCGTGAAGCTCCTAACGTGTAGTTCTTTTGTTGATGTTGCTTCCAGAGGCATTTTGGAAGTCTTTAGTGAGTGATTCAACAGAGGATAGGCACTGTGCACTTCAGAACTTGGCGGCCCCACTCTGTGAGTTTGGTTGGATTACAGCTTTGTGGCTATGCTGTTGTTGCTTCTAGGTCCTTCCATTTCACAGGGGCAGTTGACTGGCCTGCCAAAAAAAATCCTAGAGGGAACATTGCTAAGTGCTGTTTTATTGGCAAAGGGACATGGCACACGTGGTTTTGGTAAAAATAATTATTTCTTGTGGGAGGATTTTTTTCCTCAGAATAATGTACTGAACAGGCTTTCTGCGTCTTATAGAGCTACTTTGCTGACCTCAGCATCGGACTGCAAACCAGAGGCCAAGCAACATCATTTTCGCTTCTGCAGTTCTCCACAATTTGGAAATTAACTGGGATGGGCCATGTCCCACACCCAGAAGGAGCTGCACACTGACCCCATAGTGAAGACATTGCAGGCAATGCATTCTGCTTAACAGACATTGGAGATTATTTTACTGTCCAGCCTAGCTAGTGCATTGTTTTACTTCATTTCTTTCTATCTTTCTTTCTTGTGTGGAGAGTGAAGAAATGAAAAATAAAGTGTTTGCTGAGATTAGATGACTAACGAATACTGCAACAATTAATGCTTCCTCTAGTTAAGCATGGTACCTCAGTGTGTATTTAATTTAGCAATAGAACATTTAATTAAAATGTGCCATAAAATTCAAACAACATTATTGTGGAAGGTATACATGTCCAGGTATGAAACATTATAATGACAATATATAAGAAGAAGACCTGTGTCAATTACATAAAAATGCCCTAAACCTCTTTAAAACCATATCCATAGCAGGTTTCAGATAAACCTCATTTAAACCTGAAAAGCAACAAGATCTATTCCCAACAAACAGCAGCCCATGTGCCAGCACACACGGCAGAACAGCAGCTTATGTACAGGTACACACAGCAGAACTGTAGCTTATGCAGCGGTATACACAGTAGAACAGCAGCCTGAGTGCCAAGACACGCGGCAGAACAGCGGCCCAAGTGCCGAGACACACAGCAGAATAATCTTTCAAATGCATTCGATACAGTGGATCCCTCATTCACTTAAAAAAACTTTTTACTACTGGATTTGATCGAAATGCCTCATGGACAGACAGCAGTGTGTGATTCTGGGAGATGTTAAACCTGAATTTGTGCAGATTACTAATGGTGTCCCAAAAGGCTTATTTTTGGGGCCTGTTCTGTTTACAATTTATATTGACTATATTGCTTCTTCCATAACTGGGTGTAATGTACATCTTAATGCTGATGTTATGATACAGTTTTTACTCTTCTGCAGATACTGTACATTCTGCTGTTAAATCCCTTCAGCACTGCTTTAAAGATTTACTGTTGAGCTGTACTCAATAACCATAAATTAGTTCTTAATGCAGATAAGACTAAATTCATGTTATTTTCCAGAACCAGAAATACTGAGTATGATAAGCTCAACATTTCTTTCAAAAGTGGTACAAAAATGGAAAGGTCACAGTGTACTCTGTATATCTTATTATATCTTGGAATATGGATTGATGAGAGAATACCCTTTAACTATCTTATAGCTAATCTTGTGAGCAAATTAAGAAAAAAAATGTTTTTTTATGGGAATAAAACATGTTTCCCTCTGCAGTGTAGAAGGGTGCTTACCGAGGCAACTTTCCTTTCTGTCTTGGATTATGGTGACATTTTATACATGCATGCTTCAGCTTCGACTCTTAGGCCCTTGGAATCTATTTATGACTCTGCTCTAAGATTTATTACCAGGAATAATTTCAATACTCATCACTGTGAGCATTATGCTAAGGTTGGGTGACCTTCTTCTCTGTAAGGCATAAAAGACACTAGATTTTATTTATTTATAAGGCCCTTACTGTTTTTTTTTACCTCCTTACATTACTTCGTTGTTGTCTTTTAACGCAGGCCCTTACAAAACGTGCTCAAATTATTTGATGCACATGTGAGCTGTTTTTACTGAGTTCAGAAAATCCAGTTTTACTTACTGTGCACCTGTAACCTGGAATAACATGCAGACCAATCTAAAGCTCACCTCACTTTTATCCTTAGGGCAATTTAAATGTTCAATTTTTTCTTATTTCACTTCTATGTATCATGCCAAAGCTGATGCACTGGCTTATATTTTAATTATTTTATTTATTTTTAAGCTTTTATTATTTAACCAATTTGGTTGTTTATTACATATTTACATATATTTCTTATTTGTGCAATTCAATGCTTACTTTTTTGACATTATTTTTTTAATTGGCTATATTGTAAATAAGGCCTTTACCTCAATAGACTTCCCTGTTTAAAGACAAAGGAAGACTTAACTAAGGTTAAAAGATGTGTCTATCTATAAGCCGTCGTTCTGCTGTGCTGTCCTGTACTTCCGGTGTTAGTGTGACGGAACAAACGGAACGGCACAGCAACCGGCTCTCTACACATGACTACCAGATCAGACAAAATCAAGGAAAGTACCTAGATAGGAAAGGAAGTATCATTCAATTATTCGGACACCTACGTTTTCTTTCTGTTCCGCCAAAAAATGATGATTCTTTACCCTTTAACAGCATGCTTCCGACCCAAAATACTCTACTTTTTCGTACACTTAAGTTAACTGCTGTTGGGCCAAATTAAAGCTCGCTAGCGAACTTTCCATACAGCTAATGCCTCTTCAATAAAATGTAATAACAACAACCAAGACGTGCAACCTTTTTATCTCTTTTTTCGACATCTTGTAATGAAGCAGAAAGTAGTGGCCGTTGCAACAGCTTATAATATTTAAAAGTCTAAAACCATCGAAGGGTGTAGAAGGCACTGTTAAAAAATCTGACAAAACTGGATTAGCAAAATCACACCGATACTGACAGCCAAACCCAATCGTGCTTAAATTTACGTGTTAGACTGGAAGGGACTCTTGTCTCGAATATAAATTTGCGCTTATGTAAGCTGCAACATTCGAATAGCTAACTGCACTGACCTTGCTAACGCTAGCCAGTTATTCAGTAGTGGCTAATAACGGCAACAGATTACATCAACAATGTAAAAACTGCGTGCATCGTAGTCCGTGTCCGATAAACACGAGTTTAGTGAATATCAGCCAACATACTTGTCTATGAGTACATGTCTAGACAGGACGACACTAGAGGAAAGTCTTGCTGCGTTAGCTAGGTTAAGTAACTTAACGCTACAGTCAGCTTGAATGGTTTATGAGCTAGTTAGCCAGCTAACTAGCTAGCTAGCAGTAAAGTTTCCATACTTCACTTAAAAGGCTTAACTTACCTCAAATCGGTTGTTAGCGTATCTAAAAGACACCCGCAGAACGTATGCTAGAAACAACACAACAAAGAACTACCCTTTGCAAGAGTAACCACAGCAGTCGATGATTCATGACTTAAAGTTTCCAAGACTAAGCCAGCCTCATTTTCAGCCATTCCATCCGGAGTTCCGTCTGGGTTTGAAGCAGTGTGGCATCATATTGGGTCAAGATTTTATTTCGAGTGTTGTTTAAAACCCGAAGACATGGAGGTTTTGTTAGCACTAGAATAAAAAAAATGTGAATTAGGTTGGATTAAAAAATCAAAAATAAAAAAAAATAAAATAAAATATGCTGGAAGTACAGTACCTCTCCAAATAAAAATAGAGTATGAGTGCATAGCCTGGGATGTGCATTCAACAGAGTATATTCATTTCATTTATTTGAAGACATTTACAATTATTGTGCTTAAACATAACATAAAACAAAAACCTGAGAGTTTATTGCAGGGCCTTTGGAAATCCTCAAGAATGTTATGCTGGCATTGCAGTGGTTCACATAATTTACCTTCTGTTCATATACTGTTTTACAATTTAATAATATTTATATATTTTTAAATAATATTTAATATTTTAATAATATTTACAATGTAATAAATAAATTTAATAATCCTTTCCTCATGTTATATTAATGTCTAAGGTTATGTTGATGTCTGAGTAAAGACTTGACTTACATCAAGTTAATTGACAGTTGCTAATACTGAAAGCACCTCATAAAAAAGGAAAGACAAGAAAATGTAAGTTGTGTGTATGCTAAGAAAGTTTTTATTAGAATTTGATGAGCATTATTATGTCTGGACATGACCAGGAGAAGATGACAGAAGGCAGTGGCACCAGTTACTTATTTATTGTGGGTACTGTATGGTAAGCTTGGAGATTCAGTTCAAAAGATTTTCAAAATATGTTTTTTTCTAATTATTTGATAACAACTAACATGATAGGGAGATGTCAAGAAGGTCAAGAAGTTTCCATTTTAAAATGTCTTTTAAAACATGTTATCCACCAACCAAATGTTGCTAACCAAAGTTTTAAGGCTAGTAAGTCTGTACTTCAGAATGTTTTCAAAATGTTTTGATGGAACATAATGAGCTTGTTTACCCCCTCAGACCTTTCAATAGTATTTATTATGTATTTAGTTACGTCCTCCATACTTTAAAAGCCATTTGGAAAGATTTTTCAGTCTTCACCCAACCAGGATGAGTACTATTAGATCTTGAGCTGTCCATTTGGAGTAGGGGTAGGGTAAC